GGATTGTCAACTATTATGTACAGGTCGTTCACCCCTCTGCTGTCCCAGAACAAAGGCTCTCCAGTGAGTAAAATTCATACATACTATGATACAAGTCTGTATTTGTGAAAGTTTTGTGAAGACAGAAGGAACTGTTTTCAGATACGTTCAGAAACATACATTCAAACTGGTTTCTTAAAAGCAATGAAACAACATTTTTATGTAAATACGTGCAAAGCTTTCCATCAGGCAAAATATACCAAGCTTCAGGGGGATAAAATCAAACTAATAAAAATATAGTTGCAAGCAACGATGAGGGCTCCTTGGCTTTAGTTCAATCTACTGTATCTGAGGGCTAGAAATCATAGTCCAAAACGAAGCCAGAACACGTTTTTGACAGGCGAGTGGATCTTCCAAACACAGCCGGGGTCGCGGGGGTCATGTACCCTTTTAAGTAGTTCCGGAGAAGAAACAGTTCCCTCTTTAAAAGGCTGTATCTCAGTTGTTTTGGGGTCTACGGTCAAAACAATTAGTGTTCTGGAATCACCAAGACTTCATCTATCATACTGACATTTTGGGAGCAAACTACTCAGAAGACTGCTGAAAAACATGGCCAAAAACTGAAAACAAAAATAACTGCCAAACGGTACATTTTAGCGACTTGACCTGTTCAGGCAAAATTGTTGGGAATTCGATTGTGCATCTGTACAAGAGATTTGGAAGTGTTGGAACAATTAGTTCTTGAGATATTTGCTGTCAAACTTTGAAATTTTGGAATTAATTTTGAATTATCTCCCCTTTGCTATGGAGCCTAGAGATTTTTAATGGGAATATCTACACCTCGGTGCGCATCTGTGTGATTTTTTGTAAGCAATTCGGAGCATTGGTTTAGGAGGTATGTATGGTACAAAAATCGGCAGAATAATAAATAATAATAATAATAATCAAAACAATAAAATACGACTCCTGCCTAGAGGCAAGGAGCCCTAAATATTGTTTGAGGATAATCTGCCCTTGAATTTGTTGAAGAAAATGAGAGCCTATAGGGCTCTTTAGGTAGCATAAATGTGATTAATAAAATCAATTTTGGCAACCAATGAGGAATCGTTTGGCTTTCCTAGAAAATTACAACAGAATTGAATTCACAAGGCCATTTTTGAAAGTGGTCAAATGTAACATATTATATTTGGGATAACACAGGAAATTACTTATTCTATTCTAGTACCATTCGGGATTCCAACCCACATCCTCCAAGTCGGGCACTAACTCCCCACCACACAAACTCAGTCGTCTAACCCACTGAAAGCTGCGGTGGCTGACAACAAAAGTGCTAGAATCTGTACTGTACTGAGAAAGCATAATCCCAAAGATAACAGTAAGGTTTTACGTTGCTTTTAGCAATATTACAGCAGTATCACGACGGCCAAATATAACATGTGTTACACAACAGATATACCAAAAATATGTGTCACACATTAGCATATTTTCATTAAAAAGACAGAATTGTTGTTTTCACTTAAGCAAGAATTTAGGCATCTACAAAACATGGAAAGACCTATGACTGGTCATCAAAGGCACTTAATATTTCAAAACTGGAATCTTGTATACAAATCATCCTAAGCCATATAGGTCTCCAAGAAATAATAGCAAACCACAATAACAGAACATAGTGCAAAAGCACTGTAGCTCACCTGGGTATGTAGGGAAAGGTTGGGATGTCAACAAGACAGACGCTCAACACAGATTATAATAAATTTAGAATTATTTAAAACATTCATGGCCAAAAACTAAAACTGAAAATCTTACTATTTTAAAAACCCTCATCAAATTGTTTGTTTGTTTGTGTGTTCATTGAACGCCACACTCAGCAATATTCCAGCTATATGGCGGAGGTCTGTAAATAATGAAGCCTGGACTGGACAATCCAGTGATCAACAGCATAAGCACTGATCTACACAATTGGGATACAATGACATGTGTCAACCAAGTCAGTGAGTCTGACTACCCGATCCCATTAGTCGCCTATTACAAGGATGGGTTGCTGAAGACCAATTCTAACCCAGATCTTCAAAGGTACATCATCAGATTGAGTGAGTATGGTTTTACGACGCTTTTAACAATATTCCAGCAATATCATGGCAAGGTACACCAGAAATCGGGTGAGGGAGGGAGGGAACAAGAGTGGCAAATTTCAGCTTCATTGGTCCAGTGAAAGACAGACAAACAGGCAATTACCATAAGCTCACTTGACATTCAGTCAGATGAGTTAAAAGCTTCATCAACAACAAAACGTTTGATGAGGTATATAAAACTAACAATATTCAAGATGACTTGTAGAAACAAAAAACTACACATTTGAAAAACATTAAATATGCATCCATTGAAATATCAAATACTACTAAAAGGGGGCGAAAGGGTCTCTTCACCAATTGGTTGAAATTCATAGACCATGAAATATATCAATTCTAAACACATATAAACTTGTTCAGCTGCCACTTTTGGACAGATATGTTAAATTCGTGTCAGAAGAAATATTCAACAATTTTGATTCAAAAGCTAAAAACAAACCGCTTTGAGGTGGACAGATGAATGGACAAATTGATGGACATTAAGGACGGAGAGGCATAAGGATGGACAGTTGGATAGACGCAATTCAGACAGACAGACTAGATGGATGAAGACAGACTAGATAGATGAAGACAGACTAGATGGATGAAGACTGACAGATGAAGCTGAGTAACATTCCGATGGATTGATCACTTTATTACCCTGCACTTAAGGGATGTAAGGGTGGGAGGGGGAGACTTGTGATATATTAAAACAAATTAATGCTGAGTGGACGAAACCTGTCTTGACAGCGGGACACCTGCTCAACCAGAAGTTGCCAGGCGCAGTTGAGTATATTGTGCAATATTTCCATTCTTGGTTATTGGATGTGGATGTGGATGTGGACTGTGGCTGTTCATGAAACTACCATGGGTGTGACTGTGATGTGATCTACTGTGGATGTAATTGTTGATGTTATCCTCTACTCTGGATGTAATTGTTCATGTGACTCTCTACTGGGGGTGTAATTGTGGATGTGATCCTCTACTCTGGATGTAATTGTTCATGTGACTCTCTACTGATGTTGTAATTGCTGATATGATCCTCCACTCAGGATGTAATTGTTCATGTGACTCTCTACCGGGGGTGTAATTGCTGATATGATCCTCTACTCTAGATGTAATTGCTCATGTGACTCTCTACTGGGGGTAATTGTTGATGTGATCCTCTACTCTGGGTGTAATTGTTTATGTGACTCTCTACTGGGGGTGTTATTGTTGATGTGATCCTCTACTCTGGATGTAATTGTTCATGTGACTCTACTGGGGGTGTAATTGTTGATTTGATCCTCTACTATAGATGTAATTGTTCATGTGACTCTCTACTGATGTTGTAATTGTTGATGTGATCCTCTACTCTACATGTAATTGTTAATGTGACTCTCTACTGATGTTGTAATTGTTGATGTGATCCTCTACTCTAGATGTAATTGTTCATGTGACTCTCTACTGATGTTGTAATTGTTGATGTGATCCTCTACTCTACATGTAATTGTTAATGTGACTCTCTACTGATGTTGTAATTCTTGATGTGATCCTCTACTCTACATGTAATTGTTCATGTGACTCTCTACTGATGTTGTAATTGTTGATGTGATCCTCTACTCTACATGTAATTGTTCATGTGACTCTCTACTGATGTTCTAATTGTTGATATGATCCTCTACTCAGGATGTCATTGTTCATGTGACTCTCTACTGACGTTGTAATTGTTGATGTGATCCTCTACTCAGGATGTCATTGTTCATATGACTCTCTACTGATGTTGTAATTGTTGATGTGATCCTCTACTCAGGATGTCATTGTTCATATGACTCTCTACTGATGTTGTAATTGCTGATATGATCCTCTTCTCTGGGTGTAATTGTTCATGTGACTCTCTACTGATGTTGTAATTGCTGATATGATCCTCTTCTCTGGATGTAATTGTTCATGTGACTCTACTGGGGGTGTAATTGTTGATGTGATCCTCCTCTCTAGATGTAATTGTTCATATGACTCTCTACTGGGGGTGTAATTGTGGATATGATCCTCTACTCTGGATGTAATTGTTCATATGACTGTCTACTGGGTGTAATTGTTGATGTGATCCTCTACTCTAGATGTAATTGTTCATGTGACTCTCTACTGGAGGTGTAATTGTTGATGTGATCCTCCTCTCTAGATGTAATTGTTCATGTGACTCTCTATTGGGGGTGTAATTGTTGATATGATCCTCTACTCTGGATGTAATTGTTCATGTGACTCTCTACTGATGTTGTAATTGTTGATGTGATCCTCCACTCTAGATGTAATTGTTTATGTGACTCTCTACTGGGGGTGTAATTGTCGATATGATCCTCTACTCTACTCTAGATGTAATTGTTTATGTGACTCTCTACTGATGTAATTGTTGATGTGATCCTCTACTCTGAATGTAATTGTTCATGTGACTCTCTACTGGGGGTGTAATTGTTGATGTGATCCTCCTCTCTAGATGTAATTGTTCATGTGACTCTCTACTGGGGGTCTAATTGTTGATATGATCCTCTTCTCTGGATGTAATTTTTCATGTGACTCTCTACTGATGTTGTAATTGTTGATGTGATCCTCTACTCTAGATGTAATTGTTCATGTGACTCTCTACCGGGGGTGTCATTGTTGATGTGATCCTCTACTCTAGATGTAATTGTTCATGTGACTCTCTACTGTGGGTGTTATTGTTGATGTGATCCTGCACTGTGGATGTAATTGTTCATGTGACTCTACTGGGGGTGTAATTGTTATTGTATAATCTGCTGTGGCTGCAAACTCATACAACAGAATAAGCCCAGACATATCACCAGCACATATCACCAGAACATATTACCAGAACAAACCCACATTCTGCTCCACATTCACCTAAACCCAGGGAGTTCCTCTACCACAAGCACTCACCTCAAGCTTTCTGGTTATTTGCTAGAAAAACCATACAATAGCAACATCAGCTGATAATATTATACTACACATGCTTTACAGATGCCTTAGCCCTGCTCTACAGAGGAATCAAAGCATAACCAATATCATAAGTTACTAGTGGAGGAGCAACAACAATCTTAGCGCTAAGATCACACTGTGTGGAATCTGTAGAACCGGAATACAGAATATCACCATGCTGAATTTACAGTAATGATTTTCAATTACAGAAAGGAACAGAATATACTGATCAAGAGCAGGGCTCGATTTAAGAGATGTTAACCTACTTGCACCGGGTGCAACCTAAGATAAAACCCTAGTTGCACCAGCCAAATTCCAGATGCACTACCTTTATTGTAATATGTTATGAAAGAAATATGCTCTTGAACTATGTACATATTTCATTCAGAAGTTTACCCACTAAAAATTGACTTGCACCTGGTGCGAGTTAGACTAATAACTAGGTTGCACTTTGTAATATTCGGTTGCACCAGTGCAAGTAACAAAGCACTAAATCGAGCCCTGAATAGTCATAACTAGCAACTGAAGGTAGTTTGTATTTTGAACAAATTATTTGAATCCAATTCCAGCTATTAATACTATTTAAACAACAATATTCATGAGGGAGGTAATTTTCATGTTTCTAAGACACAGATCATGATAAAATAATTCAAACTGAAAAAGATATGCATATATCATCCTTAAGTGCAAGCTCAATAATTGAAGACAGCAGCAAAGACTGCATAAAAGACCTTTTGAGATTTGGAGCAACTAAATATGGGGTATTTCCTTGAATGAAAATAACAACTTGGCGTTCTCCATAAAATAAAATCAGCAAACTCAGGAGGAGGCAATGGAAAGGGATCATGCAGAGCTTTCAAGCAAACAAATGTCAATAGCTTTCAAGCAAAGAAGCTCTTGTCTCAAGGTAGTTGCATTGCCAAGGCAGAGACAAACAGACTAATCCTCAAACATCACCATATCAAAACCCAGACAATCAAGCTGCCACATACTTTCAAGGCATACACGTCATTGTGTAACAATGCTCCACATGTAATACTTTGTTCATGTCAATAGTTATAAGTCTGTTTGCAGTGAAAACGTACCAATGAATGTCACTTTAAACCAAAAAGTAAAACAAATAAAGTGAAATTAAGATTGCGAATCCTCATTATTTTACCTAGCCAATTGAACATTTAAATCTCAGAATTTTATTCGACTTGGGATAAATGTTGTTTAACAAACGATCATAGTTTCGCATGGCTATTATTGATTTGTATTACAAGGGGGTATGCACATCAAATGAAACACCGAAAACGACAAGGGCTGTTATAAGTTAACGCTCTTCACGTGCATCGAATGTGCATTCGTTTCAATGTTCCAACTACTGCAGGATTCGCAATCTTAATTTCACTGTATTTGATTTACTTTGTTTATAGTGAAATTTATCACTACGTTTTCACTGCAAACAGACTATAGTGAGGGGTAGCGGTGTGCTATATTTAGACAGAGTTCTGGGAGGTACATCAGGATCTACAACCCTATGGGCCTTTCAACTATATTCTGATCCTCTCAGTTGGAGAATCTTCTGGAGTCTTATCATAAGGTATATAGGGGAGCTAACTATTCCCTTGCATCTCACATTACATCCACATGGGACTCCGTACTCGTACTGCTGTCAATCACTCTTTAATGTGCTTTGCTGGGTGGCCCTCGAGGACCAAAAATTTATGACTGCTTTGTACCTAAGCTTATCCATTTATGCCGTTTTATTAGGGGTACACATGATTAGATGTCACGTGACCAGAAACTGTGAGTGAGTGAGTTTAGTTTTACGCCGCTTTTAGCAATATTCCAGCAATATCACGGCAGGGGACACCAGAAATGGACTTAACACATTGTGCCCATGTGGGAATCGAACCCGGGTTTTCGGCGTGATGAGCGAACACCTTAACCACTAGGCTCCCCCACCGCCCTCCAGAAACTGTGCATGTCAATATTACATTTATGTGAATGACATAAACCATTCTTCAATATTATACAGTAATTTTTATCATGCACCTATCTGAAGTATTTTAGGCTCAAAAGTTGTTGCTAGCCCCTCATACAAAAATACCACCAATTGTGCGGAGATCTTTCTTACCCTGGCTATTCAGCCTGCAGGGAGGTGAATATTACCATGTCTGTCTGTATTGCTACAATGACTGCTTCTGTATCATACAGCCTTTGAATTTTTACTGGCAGTGTAATAACTCTATTGTGACAGGTATTAATATGTAAACTTAGATATGTTTAGAATACAATTGATAATTTTATTTAATTGCCTTGTTGTGTGATGATCTCACACTGAGTTCTTTAACAGACTGATTCCTCGTTAACTTCAACACCCAACAAAGTAACATGTATTAGTGTTTGTGTATAATACGGTAGAGAACCAGGGCCCCGTTTCACAAAGCAATCATAGCACTACAACTGTCGTAAGTCTATGTTAAAGTATGGGAGTTACAATCACCTAAGTGCTACGATCGCTTTGTGAAATGGACCCCAGGCCCCGTTGCACAATCATAGCACTAACTTGATCGTAACTCCCATTTTTAAACATAGACTTACGATCAACACAGCACTACGATCATTTTGTGGAACGGCGCCCTGGATGTCCCAAACCCTGACCCACTGATAAATACTTCACTTTGGGCAATAAGAGGTGACGTAATTTCAATCAAATCACAGAACTTGACGTCCTGTCAAACATGTTGGTTGGTTGTTGTTTAACGCCGCACTCAGCAATTTTCCAGCTACATGGCGACAGTCTGTAAATATTTGAGTCTGGACCAGACAATCAGTGATCAACATCATGAGCATCGTTCTATGTAATTGGGATACGATGACATGTGTCAACCAAGTCAACTAGCCTGACCACCTGATCCCATTAGTCGCCTCTTACGACAAGCATGGGTTACTGAACACCAATTCTAAACCGGATATTCACGGGCAAGTCCCTTTGGGGTGTGTCTGAGGTGGGTTACTGGAATCCAGCTGGAGAGTGGTACAACTGAATACATTACATAATCACTGGTTCATAATCCAAGGAATACCACAGATACACCTGTCTTCCCTGTTAGAGATCATTTAACTACTTACAATAATTTCATAAATAAACCTAAAAAGAACAAGGATAAATTTATGAAATTTCTTGCTAAACCTACAAAATGTTTCTTCATCACAATATAGAAATATGGCATGCCATGTTCAACTGTTTATTGTGAATGTGCTTTTTTTTAAACTGCTTTTAGTGACTTTCCAGCAACATCACAGCTGTAACACAGAAACAGGCTTCACACATAAAATTCATACAAGCAATCAAACCCAGTTTTTCAGTGTGATGAACAAACGTCTAAGCACAGTGGTTATATCAAACTAACTGTCTTCAAGTGGTCAAATAACTGCTACCTGTCGGTTTCTACAAACCAAGAAACATGAATGTCTTCCATCTTCTCAGGGCGGTGGGGTAGCCTAGTGGTTAAAGCGTTGGCTCGTCACGCCGAAGACCCGGGTTCGATTCCCCACATGGGTACAATGTGTGAAGCCCATTTCGGGTGTCCCCCGCCGTGATATTGCTGGAATATTGCTAAAAGCGGCGTAAAAAACTAAACTCAGTCCATCTTCTCACCCTCAACTTACATATGCACAGCCCAGGTTGAGAAATCCTACCGTTAAAACAACAGCCAGGAATTTAATATTCCCCCATAAATGGTAATAAAAGTAAAGAAAGTATTGTCACCCAAAAGACAACCAGGCAGCCTCCAATAAAAAGACTATCTACTAACAACGAAAACTTCTACGAGAAGGCAAAATGGCGCACATTTCACCCATGCATTTTACAACATTACTTCTTCATTATAGAGACGTGTCACTATCTTACTCTATATACAAGGGAAAACATTTGAAAAATGACAAACAACAATGATAATAATAGTAAATGCTTGATGTAGGAACCCACTGAAGCTGTAGTATTCCACTCACCTGAGCTACGGTCTGTTCTCCCAGAGGAATGTCGTCTGTCCTGATCGCGACTTTCTGCACAATGGCACTAGAATCAGCTTCCAATACAATACTGAAACCATGAGTATTAGAGAGTTAATTTTCAAAATTGGAACAAATTGATTTTTTAACACGTCAATCACATAGCAAATGATTGTGATCATAAGAGTGATTGAGTGAGTTTAGTTTAACGCCGCTTTTGGAAGTATTCACAGTGTGTGACACCAGAAAAGGACTTCACACATTGTACCCATGTGGGGAATCGAACCCGGGTCTTCGGCGTGGTCCTGATCATAAGAACAAACACATCAACATCTTTCTGCAGGCAACAGAAAGTAACTTGCACAATCTGTCTCTGTAAAAAAAAACAATCAACAAATTCAAAGATGGCTGATTGCTCAACAAAGGGGTATAACTCTTGCCTTCCACCATCACAAGGAAGCCATGTTCACACCAGAAGGATTCCATCAAAACACATGAAAATTTCATATCAATCAAACACCTTACGTATTTCAGTTTTAGCTGAAGAATAAACGGATCTGCCCATTATTTCACTGTTACAAGACATTTTAGACAGCCTTGGAGTAATTAGACCTGTGAAATTCTGGGTTCAATTGGTCTTCAGTATGCTTGACGTAAGAGGTGACTAACAGGATCGGTTGGTCAGGCTCGCTGACTTGGTTGACCCACATGTCATTGTATCCCACTTGCGTGGAACAATGCTTATGCTGATGATCACTGGATTGTCTAGTCCAGACTTGATTATTTACAGACCGCTGCCATACAGCTGGAATATTGTGAGTGCAGTCTTAAACAAAAAACCTTAACCCTTAACCATGGAATATTTATGGAATATTTGCTGGCATTGACACCTTTTTCGAACATGTATAAATTTGATCATACCTACAGAGAGTTGTACTTAAAAATATTTACAAGGATTTCTGCTGCAGACATCTTAACATAAGTATTTTAATGTGTAGAGCAATCTAGAAAATTTAGATCAAAAGCAGGCACGTAAGCATAATCGATAATATGTGGGGAATAAAATAAAGGAAAGAGATCAGAAAAAACATTTACCACTTGACATCGACCTATACTGACAACAGTCATAATCCTGGCAAAGGGAAGCAACTCCACACAGTCCATACAGGATCTTGCCATTAATTGATTTTAGCATTACCATTCTCTTGGTATTCAAAATAATTTCATTCTGTTTGGTCCTTTCTATTAGATATTAATACTTTCCATCAGCTATTGCCTATATTTTCACTCAGGTTGGACCAGTCTATTGGTTACTGACAGATACAATTGTTTGGATATTCAGTATATTTCTATTCCCTTGGGTCCCATCTAGTGGGTATTGCAGACTATTGCTGACTGCTTTGAACTTAATTCTACCCCTGTGATGTTACAGGTAACATCTTAAGTATCTAGTGGGTATTGCAGACTATCGCTGACTGCTTTGAACTTAATTCTACCCCTGTGATGTTACAGGTAACATCTTAAGTATCTAGTGGGTATTGCAGACTATCGCTGACTGCTTTGAACTTAATTCTACCCCTGTGATGTTACAGGTAACATCTTAAGTATCTAGTGGGTATTGCAGACTATCGCTGACTGCTTTGAACCTAATTCTACCCCTGTGATGTTACAGGTAACATCTTAAGTATCTAGTGGGTATTGCAGACTATCGCTGACTGCTTTGAACTTAATTCTACCCCTGTGATGTTACAGGTAACATCTTAAGTATCTAGTGGGTATTGCAGACTATCGCTGACTGCTTTGAACTTAATTCTACCCCTGTGATGTTACAGGTAACATCTTAAGTATCTAGTGGGTATTGCAGACTATCGCTGACTGCTTTGAACCTAATTCTACCCCTGTGATGTTACAGGTAACATCTTAAGTATCTGACTGAACACTTTGCTTACTAAGAACATCAAAGCATTATTTAATCAAACTTATAAGTGTTTATCTTCTCATCATTCAGGGAATACATGTATAATGCAGTAGTTGCCTGGATATGTGCGCTATATGATTATTGTATATTAATATCAATAATGATGGATGTGACTGACTCACTGAGTTTAGTTTTACGCCGCTTTTAGCAATATTCCAGCAATATCACGGCAGGGGACACCAGAAATGGGCTTCACACAATGTGCCCATGTGGGGATTCGAACCCGGGTTTTTGGCGAGATGAGCAAACGCTTTAACCCTTAGGCTACCTCACCGCCCCTGATGGATGTGAATGATTATCATCTTGCATTAGTATTTGGAGTCAAAATAATGATTAATTATTCATACTGTTTGATGCTATGCAGGACAGAGTTCAGCCTTAGAATTTCATTTATATGCAATAATACAGTGGAAGCTGTCAAAACCGGCAGCTGTCCAATCCGGCAAGTTGTCAACATCAGTATAAAATCTCAGTCCCGTCCGTGGCTAGTACATTTATCATCATTTAAAAGCTCTGCAACCCGGCAGCTGTCAATTCCGGATCTTGGCATGAAATGAGCTGCCCGAATATGTGTTTATACAGTAATCAGCGCTGTTTAATCTGGCGCGTGGCAAGGAGTCAGTAATCCTGTGTTGAAACTACATGGTTGCCGACAAAGATAATTTAATCTTAGTTCAGTATGGGTGTACTTGTACATGAAATTAGTGAGTTGAAAGAGAACTTGAGAGAACCACCTTATACAACAATGTATATGAGTGATAAAACTGGTTCAGTTCTAGTCGTAGGTAACCGTGTCAGCTCTACAATCCGGTACTCTGTCGAAACCGGATTATTTTTTCAGTCCCGACGTTTGCCAGTTTAGACAGTTTCCACTGTAGACAAAAATACTGAAACCTAATTTCATAGCAATTCCTACTGGAATAACACAAAAGTGGTAAAATTTCTTGTTGGTATTATTTAGTTTCAATTTTAAGCAAAATTTAATCACAGAATTTTACCCCTAAAGTTCTACTTATCAATAAGGACAAACATCATTGCCTTCAACACAAGTTAGTAACCTCGGGCTAACAGGCTAGCATGAATATTAAAGTCTGTTGTTAAGTATCGTTGTTGTTTGTTTGTTGGTTTGTTGTTTAACGCAGCACTCAGCAATATTCCTGCTTTATGGCAGCAGTCTGTAAATAACTGAGCCCGGACTAGACAATCCAGTGATCAACAACATGACCATCAATCTACGCAACTGGGATACAATGACGTGTGTCAACCAAGTCAACGAGCCTGACCACCCGATCCTGTTAGTTGCCCCTTACGACAAGCATGGGTTGCTGAAGACCAATTCTAAACCCGGATCTGGTTGTTAAGTATCGAAATATGAAAGCATAGTGTAGCTATGGTAACACTGACACTGAGCGCTGCTTACCCTCCATCACAGATTTCATCCACAGCCAAATATACTGCATCTAGGTTCTCTAACAGGGCTCGTTTCTCTACGTTCTTCCGTAGAATCTGGCTCACGGCATCGTACAGGGCGTTCAGAACACTTGCTAATATGAGCTGAAACAGAGAGTCAGGGAAAGGGTGAGAAAGGCAAACAATCATTTCTTGTTCTATGGAGGAGTGAGTGAGGGAGTTTAGTTTTACGCAGCACTCAGCAATATTCCAACTATATGGCGGCAGTCTGTAAATAATTGAGTCTGGACCATACAAAACAGTGATTAACACTATGATCGATGGAAGGAAGGCGGTTTGGTTCCTTTGTCATTTAACTGAGTCACGATCACATATCACTTGAAAGTTAGAAGGTTAACTGGAGTGAGTGTGAGCGAGTTGAGTTTTACGCTGCTTTTAGCAATATAACGGCGGGGGACACCAGAACTGGACTTCACATATTGTACCCATGTGGGGAATCAAATCCGGGTCTTCGGCGTAACAAGTCAACGCTTTAATACCAAAAGTTTACTGGAACCCAAATGTTCAGTTTAGTTTTACGCCGCATTCAGCAATATTCAAGCTATATGGCAGAGGTCTGTAAATAATCGAGTCTGGACTAGACAATCCACTGATCAACAGCATGAGCATCGATCTACGCAATTGGGATACGATAATATGAGTCCACCAAGTCAGCGAACCTGACCACCTGATCCTGTTAGTCGCCTCTTACGACAAGCATAGTTTACTGAAGATCAATTCTAACCCGGATCTTCACGGGTAGGACAGGTTGTAAACATTGTGGAAACTTGTATATTTGTTAAAACACAACAAAGTATAAAGCAACCATTCCTTTTTCTGAATATGTTGTCAATTAGCCACAGTAGTAAGCAACGGATATTTGATATGCTGCACATCACCTAAAATTTACTTACTTCATTTTCTTGTGTAGACCCAATGACGTAGAAAAATAAATCAACATTAGATTTATATACACATGTGAGACCCTCGAACATTATAATTTCCGCTGCAACAAAGAAAGAGAAACAAATATTAAGAGATAAAACAAGCCATCTCTACAAATGGAAATCCTTATCCCATGTATAGTCCGTTTGGCTCAAAAGCGGACCGATGAATTGCAATCTAACTCGAAAACTTATAAACATAAATTACTCAATGAAACACTGATCATAATGAAAACGTCAGACCAACTCTGAGAGGTGTTTGCAGAATTAATGTCCTAAAAATAAAAAAGTTGTTTAACAAACTATCATTAAAATATCGACAAAGTTCACTATTTGTTACGAGGGAGGAGTGCAGAGAAAGGGACAGCCGGGTGTGCATTAATATTAATCAGGGTGTCTACCTCCCAAATGCATGGTACATAAAACAATAAGACAATACCCTATCCTCGTCACTGTTCCCATGTATAAAGCATAATTTCTATGTATACACTGCTATTACTTTACATTCTATACATTTATAAATACGTCTCTGTACATTTCTAAATCAATCAACAATTTTGTATAAGTATCTGCACAGTTCTAAATTGATCCATTAATTTTGCAGTAAACAACATCTTATATACTAGTATTCATAATAACATGTATTCTATTAGCCATGTCATCTGTATCTATTGACCACCACATGTATTGCGTCGTCATAGCATTGTGACATCATAAGCATTGTGACGTCACGGCCAGAGTTAACAGTTACTGTTCAGTTTTACCTGATGATGGGGCCAGAACAAGCCCTGAAACGTTGTACTCGAGAATAAAAAGAAGATGTAACCCAGAAAAAATCTCTATGTTCATCAAATCACAGAGTTGGTCTGATATTTTGATTATGATCAGCGTTTCATTGAGTATGTTATGTTTGTAAGTTTTCAAGTTAGATTGCAATTCATCGGTCTGCTTTTGAGCCAAACGGACTATAGATGCTAACACTGTTTTCAAGCAAGTGGAAAAAATTCACTGTAAATCATCAGCACCATTTAATGGTGAAAACAACTTTTATATATCAAATGCTCCATGTCTATTACCTGCAAATTATTGGGATTCAACAACCGAGCTACAGATAACCACTTGGATACTGAGTTATGTACTCGCTGTGTTCATCTCAATTGGGTATCATAATTTTCCTTTGAGTAACCTAATAAATTGGATATACATTGTACCCATGTGCTGAATTGAACCTAGATCTTCTTCCATTATTCTTTCAGCAAAACTAATCAAAGATTACAATGCACAATAGGGCAGCAATACAGAGGAAAAGAATATCATATAAACAGAGTTTTTATGAAAATCAGGTTTCTAAAAAAACTGCGGGATAGGAACAGCAAGCTTGTAGTGTCCATTCTTTTGTTTCAATACTAACCATTGGCTCGATGAGTTTTGTTGAACAGATTTTTTTCAAACTGTTTCTGTTCTTTTGCTGTGGAAAAGGTGTCATCAAAATACTGCAATGAAAAATGTATTGCACATATATTCTGATGAGTGAGTGAGTTTAGTTTTACGCCGCACTCAGCAATATTCCAGCTATATGGCAGAGGTCTGTAAATAATCGAGTCTGGACTAGACAATACAGGGATCAACAGCATGAGCATCGATCTACGCAACTGGGATAGGATGACAGGTGTCAACCCAGTCAGCGAGCCTGACCACCTGATCCTGTTAGTCGCCTCTTACGACAAGCATGGGTTACTGAAGATCAGTTCTAACCTGGACCTTCACGGGTTATATTCTGATGAGGATCAGAACATCAGCTAGTGCAAAACATACAAATATGTCTTTCACTTAGTTCACACATGCTGGTCAAATTCATCCTATAGTCTGTTTGCAGTGAAAACGTACCGATGAATTTCACTTTCAACAAGAAATTAAATCAAATAAAGTGAAATTAAGATTGTGAATCCTCATAATTTGACCTTGCCAAGTGAACATTTAAATCTCAGAATTTTATTCAACTTAGGATAAAAGTTGTTTAACAAACGATCATAGTTTCAAATCGCTCTTATTGGTTTGTATTACAAGGGGGTATGCACATTAAATGAAACACTGAGAACATGTAGGGTTGGTCTAAGTTAACGCTCATCACGAACCGCAAGTGCATTTGTTTTACTATTCCAACTACTGCGCTTACCCCCTTGTAATACAAACCAATAATGGCGACTTGAAACTATGATCGTTTGTTAAACAACTTTTATCCTAAGTTATATATACTTCTGAGATTTAAATGTTCAATTGGTAAGGGTCAAATCATGAGGATTCACAATCTTAATTTCACTTTATTTGATTTACGTTTTTGTTTAAAGTGAAATTCATCGGTACGTTTTCACTGCAAACAGACTATAGTAAAATGATGAAAGTGCTGATATACTTTCAACAGCAGATCAAAGTAAGTGTCAGAGGAATGGTAAAAGCGTCATTTTCAAGTTGTAATGGTGGGAACTTTTTGCTGTACTACATGATCATGATGATATTTACAAATTAGATTTCAAAACTGTTTTACCAATTGTATGTCAAAATACCATTGGTATGGTTTTCATCACAGCTGTAGCTCACACAAACAATTGTTTCCTTACAACTGCAGGTGTAGGAGCTGCATCAGTTTAACAGTTTCACAGGCATGTGTTGATAAACCTATAAAATAGCGAATAAACAAAACAATCATTACAAGTGTGCACCTTTTCACTAAATTAACATGACAACCAAATCAAAGGAATTGACATTTCCCAAAATCAAGGTCATTTGCAATCCTACTGTCAGTGTTCACGAATAGCGTCTGACCCTCTGACAATTCAAGTAGATTTGCCAACGGACCAATAGAAGTCTACAACCCACCGGGCCCAGTGTCCAGACTGTATATTTCACAATGACTTTGACTGAAGTTGTTATATGTGACATGTGACAGTTGTTTGCTGTTTATTGCTGTTTATAAATTTTATGTTTGTTAATAATTTCAATGCCAATTATAAGAAATGTTAAATCTGAAATGTGAGTTTAATTTTATTCTATGGGTCCTGTGAATTTTCGTGAACACTGCTACTGTTTGTATATTGTCCACATTTCACAAAAGGATTTTAGCGCAAAGGTGATCATAACTCCCATATATTTAACATAGATTTATGGTCGTTGTAACGTTGAGATCACTTTGTGGAATGACTGACTGACTGAGTTTGGTTTTACGCCGCTTTTAGCAATATTCCAGCAGGGGGACACCAGAAATGGGCTTCACACATTGTGCTCATGTGGGGATTCGAACCCGGGTCTTCGGTGTGACGAGCCAACACTTTAACCATTAGGCTACCCCTCCGCCCCTTGTGGAATGACGCGCAGGGCATGTTCATGAATATGAAGATCATTATTGTTATAATACTGTGGGTATTGTCTACCTTTGCCACCAATCTGTTGCCATCATTGTCAAGGATTGTGATGGCTTTCACCGTGTACAGAGAGGGTTCCTGAAACAAAAAAATGCACAGGATCTTAGCCTAATAATGCTGATTTAGAAAAACAATTATTAGTAGAATTATTTTAGCAGATGTGAACATGGTTTAATGTCACAACAAGCCGCACGTAGTACTGTCTGATGATGTTTGTGCCATGTCTCAGTGTCCTGCATTTACAGGGGTCTCCCTAAAAGTGTGTTTTTTCCTGACCATCTTGGTATTCTTCGAGCATATGACAAGTGAATTAAAATAAATTCTAGAAAGGTGTATAATATCAGACTTATCAGTAAATTGATTTTCCTGTTGTATGTGTCATTTACAAAAGAATGTTTTCACTGTGACAGATTTCATAAACGGCTAGAATGCACTTTACCAGGCGCAGCCCCCGCTGCTCGCTGCGGGGCAATTATCGCGCTATATAGAGCTACCACACTCTCAAGCGCTGTCTTGCTATATCGCGGTAATTGCTCTGTCTCCCTTCACTTGCATCTTTAGAGTCAAACAACCCTTTACAATCCTTAGGGTTAGGGTTTAGGGTTAGGGTATTGCACCCTTTACGATCCTTAGGGTTAGGGGTTAGGGTTAGGGAACCTTTTCGATCCTTAGGGTTTAGGGTTAGCACCCTTTCCAATCCTTAGGGTCAAGGTTTTGGGTTAGTACAGTCCAAGAAATAATGGTGCGAAAAAAAATGAATGGAAAAGGGTGTGGCACAGTGGGGCAGAAGCACGAGAAATATAAATAAAACCATTGTGTGTGCGCAGTAGTTTGTTTTCACTTCTCGCACTTCCGCCTTACTTCTGTACAAATGACCCGTTAAACGAGCACTCATTAACTGTGATGGTGCTCGTGGTCCCGAGGTTGAGCGTCCACCAATTACGTCACTAATTAACGAAGTCAGTAATCCGGCGAAGCACATTCGAACCCCAGCAGCGCTAAGTAATCTGACTGACTGACTGACTGAGTTTGGTTTTACGCCACTTTTAGCAATATTCCAGCAACATCACGGCGGGGGACACCAGAAATAGGCTTCACACATTGTACCCATGTGGCTCAGTAATCTGAAAAAGTGTGCCTGGTAAAGTGCAGTAGTCCCTCATAAACTGACGGAACTTTAAAGATACTCATACTGAAGGCATTTTCACATCATGAAAACCGGTTGAGAAATCATACAAAAAGATGTTACCATACAACTTTGGAAATGATTACTGTAGAGTTCATGGCATAATTATGTCAAAATATGTTTTCCAAATAAAGCAAACGTTCATGAGGATGTAAACTTGGTTCAAATATCGCAGATCTATAGAAATTGTATATGGAAGAATTTGGAACGTTCCTTGTTGAACATATGACATGATCATCGTGATGAATATCACAAGGAATAATTGCCATGGATTATTACCATAACTTCAGTTCATCGAAGGAATAATATTTCACATCATTTTATGTGACTCTGCATAGCGGAGGCAGAAGTATAACACATTTATTTCACTAAAATAATGCAGATAATTTTGACATACCAGTATTCCTCCTTCCATGTTGTCTTTCCTGACGTGGAAATGCAGACTCCGCACTGAATTTCCGTTTCCGCGTTGATGAGTAAAAACATAAAGAAATCGTTTAGATATAAAAATATCATTTTATGTGTGAGTGATGAATGTTCATGCATATGTACCTTTGTCTTAATTTTAATCACCTCCTCTCACAATTTAATTAGTGGACATACTTGTTTCTGTACAACTATTAGTATAAGTATACAACTTGATCGGCCGTCAGAAGAATCGAACCCTCAACGAAAACCGTGTATGGGTGTTACTGTGGTGGACTTGCAATTGACCTAATTTTTTTATTTATTTTTTTTCTTGGGGGTTGGGGGGGTGTCTTTTATTAACAGTGTGTACTATACATTCCGTCTTATGGGTGAGTTTAGTTTTACGACGCACCTAGCAATATTCCAGCTACAATTGTTATAACAGAATTTAATCAGAGAGTCTGTGTCACATCAAAAGTCTATGAAACGAACTCTGTCCATCCGTTGATAAAGATCGCTCTGACATAAAAGATTAACTTTCATGCTACTAATCAGAAAAAATACAATAATTTACCGATCCAAATCAATTTTTTTAAATAATTCTTTTCAACCCAGTACATCACAGTTTACGTTATCATCATTTTTTTACCTAATGACCAAACTTGACACAACAAAATACGCAAACAAAAATGAAAAGAGCTTATCTGGACATACATGTGTAGATTGGCCTTGACCTTGTTGAAACAAAGGCACATGTGATTTAAACTATGGTAATCATTAGGAGGGTTTTAGGTTAAAAAAACGTAATTGTTTCAAGCAACAATTAAGGGTGTAATCTGCAGGCGATTATGTTCAAGGTATACACTACAAGACCAGGGAAAGTTTACAGCCATGATTCACGGTGCCTAATAGGGAAACGAGGGTGAAATGACTACTCCATGTGGATGTATTTGATATAGGTTGTACTGCTTACCTTTTAAGTTTGTTTCGACGACTGTTTTAAGTTTTCAATTTTTTGGTAACATGTGTGTTTTTATTTAAATCAAACTTTAAGACATATACTTTCTTTGGCCCTGTGTATTTCCAACGTTCACGTAGACATGAGAACGGGGTTCTAATATTCTGTCTCAAGGTCCCGGAACCACATTATTTCCCTAATGCCTAGTCCTCCCTGCAATGCTAAAGCCCTAAATGAAGCAGGTCTATATTTCATCAGAATCTCCCATTTCACTGGGCTCCTTTTCAACTTAAATATGTGTTTATTAAAATTATAATTCAGAGACTAAGCGTTAGGCTAAGGTTTTAAGGGGTTTGGGGGCAAGCCGAAGATAAAAGTATATGATAACCACAGAAATATGAGGAGGAAACATATTTTGCATGAAACATTTCTCTTATTTTCTAAGAGACAATATGAACTGATCAGATAGGAAATATATTAAGTACTGTGGCGATGTGAACCAGATAGAAGACGTCTTTCAGTGGCATTTAGAAGTTGTACATTGATGTCCAAGATATTTTTATGGATTAAACTTCTTTTTAATTTCTCTCACGACGTTTCGAGACCATTCCAGGTCCCTTCATCAGTCTCGTGAGAGGAATTAAAAAGAAGTTTAATCCATAAAAATATCTTGGACAGATAGAAGACGGTGATTCAGTCAGTGTTGATTACCATCAGGAACGTTACCGCTCTTTCTAGGGGTGTCTATTCGTTTCCATTTACTTCATAGTCGAAACCGGGTTGTATTTAACGGTATAGACCGTATCAAACGATAAAAGATGTATTCTACTTTTATTATAATCATCACTTAATTTTGCACTTTGATAGCAATTAATTCTTAACACTATTACTTTTCCAACATTCATTATAATTTCCAACATTCATCCAGATATTACCACTCATCCTTTTGTTTAGGAAGGTATTTAGGATACGAGTTCATGACAGAAACATATTTTTGTTAAGTATGCTCTTTCTGTTTAAAAAAAAACACATTAATTTAAATGTTACATATTATCAGATTTTTAGTAAGATTGATATTCATGAAAGAAAATATTGAACTATTTTCACAAGGATCTGACAAAATGTCACAGCAGTGCTTGTACCCTTTAAATATTGTTTGTATATAAAAAAATAGTAGCTGTCTGTTTAACATTTTCGATTTTTCTTTCCGTTTCGCTCATAAAATACTTTTATTAATGTTAACAGTTGCAAGTATCGCCGTTTCTGGCTACAATTACGAACGACAGCAAATAGTATGTCTATTGGTAGAAAATCTATTAACACAGTAGAGATATGTAGAATAATGACAATTATTATGGATATACAACTTCTTTTATTCTGCGGAGGAGACGTTTCGACATAGGTTCTAATGTCGTTGTCAAGCAACCTATGTCGAAATGTCGCCTCCACAGAATAAAAGAAGTTGTATATCAATAATAATTGTCATTATTCTTCATCAACTCAACTTCTAAAATGCCCATCAAAGAAGTCATTAGAGATATTTCTTAGGAGAATAGCATTACAAGCTATTTGCCGCGGAGTGACCCACGCCGGGGAAAATGGCGGTGCTCCAAAGAAAGAAAGACGGTGCTCCTAATGCCAAGTTTTTTGAAGCCGTAGAGACTATCGCACAATTTGATAGTGCAAGAACATGGTTGCACAAGAACTGCAAAAGGGTATGATATTCCTCATGTAGTAGCTGAACCAACTGATTGTCATTTTGACACGATTTCCTCGAGAGACTCATCAGGGTTTTTTGCTCTTTGTTTTCAGAGCCGGGTCATGCTTCCTCACGCGTGCCGTGCTTAATTTTACAAACAAACACGAATTCCTTGTTGATGTGATGATGAGTACTGTTTCAGTCAAAGAAATCAGATTTAATGCCTATCAATACTCGTTTCTGAGAATTAGAGCCGATCTATTTTTGTTGCGAAAACGGCAGATAACTCTTGTCAGAAGAACGATGGACGCTAAAGCAGATAATCATTTTTGAAATCCAATGGAGAGTAAATTGTTGAGGGTAAGGTTGAAAATTTAGAGGTAGAACATGATCGAAACCTGGAAAAGGAAGCATCAGTGAAAAAACATTAAATATTCACAACTAGGCTAGCATTTTGTGGCCTTGGGAACCATGTTTAAAGATACCTGTTTAAATGGTATTAGAATTCCTTCATAGAATTACAATGCCGTCCGGTAATTCCGCGCACCTAAGCACATCAATCGCAACTAGGCAACTAATGTCTCTTACTTTTTGTGGTTTATGTGACTAAACATGCTGGTATGCATCATATTTAGCTATAAATATAAGTTTTATTGACGACAAACATTCTAACATTGCATTATGCCATACGGTTCACCTTACCGGCGTTCTGACGACATTGCTTGCTGTCCGGTAATTCTGCGCAGCAATTGATGCGCATAACATCCAGCTGGAGATCCGAAGTATGGAAGCGTATTAGTGCCAGATTATTTTTATTTTCAAAAATCACTTCATCAATGTAAGGAAGAGTGTTTCATATTAAATCCAATTATGAATAATGAAGAAAAAGGTTTAAAAGTCTGAAGAAAACGAATTTTCATAAAACTGTAAATTTATCTGAAAATTACTGTTATTTACTTACCTTTAGTGATTTAAAGCCAGTCCCTTGTAGAAATGTCCCGATTGCAAGCGTAAATGTGGTAGCAGACGATGTGTACCTTCCATACGGAAGTACGCTATTGCAGCTGCGCAGAATTACCGGAAACGTACAGAATTACCGGACTCGCTTGTATGTTTAATTGTTTAGTCTGCAAATACTTATCCCAGATGAATGGACTCATTTTGCTAGGGCTTATTATAGACCATTTGTTAATGTGTCAAACTCTAAATAAGGTGGATATTGATGGATATTTTAGAACAGCGCCAAGAGCTGTATTGCCAGACAAGGCAATTAATGTAATATTTGGCTAATAATCCATGATACATCCATAGACAAGAATGCATAATTGATTGCTTGAATATAGCTTTTAAAGTAACCGTCACACACATGCAGAAACAAATGTAAATACATATTTTTGACATAACATCCAGTATATCAGACTGGCATGTCCAGACTAGGGATTTACTTGAGGCTGATATTCAGCCACAAATCTACATGTCAGTTAAAAAATCATGTTAACATGATACAAATATCAGGTAGCAAAGCAGTTTACCAGGCGCAGCTTATTGTGGTGCTGAGCGGCTCGGGCTTCTGACTGTGGCTCTTGCTTCACAGATATTGTATGCCTCTTCAATTTTCAGAGTCAGCGTAGGTTCACCAAAAGACGTTTATACATCTTTGGTTCACCCACTCTGTCCTTCGCCCTTTGATTCCATTCAGATTAAGAATCTCTTTACGGTCATCAGGGTTAGGTACCCATTTCTAGTCAAACAACCTATCAGGATACTTACAGTTAAGCACTTCTGAACAGCTGCTAACAGCGGCGTAAAACCCAACTTACTCTCTAAGACACAAAAAGTTGTCAACATATTAACACAAAGGTGACAGGGAATAAATTTGGGTCCAAGGCTGCATTTATGTTGTGAAGAGTATGTATTTTTATAGAGCCAGCCCACTGAGTTAACATGCTGCAGGTTTAAAATAAATACTCCATTTGAACACCATATACTGACTTTAAGCCAACCAGTCCTTGTTTTGTACACTAAATATCGGACACCAGGCATGGTAACATCGTATCGTATTTTAGTTTCAAGATATATGGTATTTAGTGTCAGGGGATTTTGTCCAAGCTGACCTCCTGTAATGATAGTGATAATATGAATTATGTCTGGAAATGTTGAAAAGGATTTGTGCATATGTTTTGCTTAGTAGAAACTGCTTTGGTTGATAATGTTTTAGTTGAAAATATCTGAAGCATTGTTGATGTGTTTTCATCTTTCAGTACACACAGGCTGATCCCCCCACCAACAAAGGCCTGTCAAGTCTCGTCATTCAGCTATTGCAGTTTCAAGAAGATGCCTTTGGAAAATCCCAAACAAACCCAGCACTTACAAAGTTGCCTGTAAGTATAACATATGAATGGTGTTATAAAATCCACAACTTGATTATGTGGAAAAAAAAATTGCAGCATTGTCTGAGACACCACAGAAAGCCAGTACGCTAACTGAACTGACTTTTTAATGCTATCCTTGTGTCTTGTGTGTTTGTCATGAAATCTTTATTCTTCGTAAAAGCTGAACTACCTCCGTGGTGTAGTGGTTAGAGTGTCAGCCCAGAGAGCGGAAGGTCGCGGGTTCGATCCCCGACCGCGTCATACCAAAAGACGTTAAAATATGGTACTTGTTGTTCCCTGCCTGGCGCGCTGCATAAATGGGTAAAACAACGACTGGTCAGCTCAGAGTCAATATAAAGTGTCTGAGTGGGGTATTCATGCTTAACTGCGGCATGGTATCTCAGTGAGCTAGCACTATAAAACCAGCTTAGGTCTGGGCTAGTACAAGCAGTCACACATACACATGCATGCACATCACGTAAGCGAAATATTCTTAAGTATGACATTTAGTGTTTGGAATTGGTTAAAATCTCATAATTGATGATTGGTTCATTACCACCGATCAATCATCGAAAATAATTGGTTAGCGTCATTTATGAAATCTGTTAATGCACAAAAAAATAAGGAAAAAAACGTAGTTATTTTTGGGGTGTTTTTGGCAAAATTTCACATCTTTAAAGGATGACTAGTTAGGAACATTTCTTGGTGTCTTTAAGATGAATTCAATCATGACTTGGAACAAGCTTGTAGTGCTTATGAAATTTAATAGATAAAACCAACCTTGTGAAAAATATTGTTGATGAAAACAAGTGTTCCAGAATTGTTTGTGTTCGATTATGAGAAAACATGTTCGATTGCTTGGTCGTTGAGTCACTGCGACCAATCTTCGATTATTTCAATTAATCAGACCACCACTAATGACATTAAACCCCATTTCACCTCAAACCTCATAAAAGCTGAACAAAAGGTAGTAGATTATTAACTTCATTCACCATTGAGTCTTCCCCACATGTGCTTTGACCACAGGATTACTTTTCTGGATATGTTTAGTCTGTCGTCTTTTCTTGTATATTCGACCGCCTCTGTGGTGTAGTGGTTAGAGCGTCCACCCGGAGAGCGGAAGGTCGCGGGTTCGATCCCGGACCGCATCATACCAAAAGACGTTAAAATATGGTACTTGGTGGTCCCTGTCTGGCGCCGGCATTAATGGGTACAACAAAGACTGGTCGGCTCGGTGTCAGTATAATGTGTCAGAGTGGGGTATTCATGCTTAACTGCGGCATGGTATCTCAGTGGGCTAGCACTATAAAACCAGCTTCAGTCTGGGCTAGTACAAGCAGCCGCACATACACATACACACGCATGCACGCCGTCATATGAGCGAAATATTCTCAAGCATGACGCTAAACCCAATTTCACCTCACCATCTTGTATATTCAACACTGAATGCAGCAATAAGTTTGGAACTTGTATCAATGTTTTCAACCAGTCTGTCTCATTTCTGGGACTTCAATAATGAAAAGTAAAATTGTTCAGAGATTTGAGAAGCTCTCAGAAATAGCTGTGTCTTCATTGTTGTATTCAGATTAAACAGTCTTGTGTGAGTTACAAGAAGCATATTGTGATGAAACCTACATCAATGTCACCGGCCATTAAATATGTATTTGTAGATGAAGTGTTTCCTCGACTTCAAGGCAGGAGGTGGACTTTGTCAGATTTTTGCTGCTGTCTTCAAATTCAAAAGCGACCAAGGATGGTATGTACTCCTGTATATCAGTAAATGAAATGAGATGGATGAAGTAAAACTTAAATAGCAAAAGCGTTACGGTCCAACTCTTTTGGGATTCCAGGTTAGAGAAGCTTTCCTGGCCACCAAGGTCACAAGAAGCAACAAACTGGTTTGATGGTCAGGTTCAGTGACATTGTTGGTTGATTGCATGTCATGGCACGCGTACAAGATCAATCACTTTACTGGCAGATCCAGTCAGTCATTTACACAGGGCTCCAGATAAGGGCCGTATCGGCGTATGTACGGATATAAAATATGCATGATACGGTAGGAAATAAGTTTAGATAACGTAGCAGATACGCACTACAGCAATGGTGTACGGTCTTAGAATCATTTACAGACATATTTTTTTTAAAGTATTGTTTCATTGTTTATTGACCTGTTTAGATAAGAGTAGCAATGTTGGGGTGCATATAAGAAACAAAACACAAGATTACTGATACTCCTGTAAGTCCAACTAGTACTCTAGTTCCCCTAAATGGTTTTCCAGTACTCCTCTGTTGAAAATATAAGGAGTACGTACTCCTGATGTTGAAAAATTATCTGGAGCCCTGTTTACAGGCTGTTATATCATGGAATAGTGCAGAGTGTGGCTTTAGACAACAAGCCAACAAATCGATTTTAAAACATCATGTTCTGATATCTATCACATAATCAAACACATCAAAAGATACAGGAAAGTTAAAAAGACACTTGACATCATGGATTGTTTGCAGGAGACGATTCGACTTCCAGTCTCCATCCCGAATGGACAGGAACGTGGAGATGTTTATGCAGATCGAGAAGGCTCTCGTCTCCAGCAAATGCTTGCCACCCCCCTCCATCTTCATCCGCCCTGACGTTGACAAGATCCTCATCCCCAAACTCAAGGACATCATCAAGAGACACCAGGGAACGATGTGTGATAATGCTGACGACGCCACACACATTGTACACACGCTGCCATCCCATCCTCCACCTAATGGTAAACAGTCTAAAATTATTCTTCAGTTCGAGCAGCTAGTTGGAGTGATTTTATTGAGTATTTGGGTATCATTTGCTGGTTTCTAGAAGTATTCAGTATTACTGCTATACCAGACCCAGGAAGATCTGGGTTAGAATTGATCTTCATTAACCCATGCTTGTCGTAAGAGGCGACCAACAGGATCGGGTGGCCAGGCTCGCTGAGTTGGTTGACACCTGTTATTGTATCCCAATTGCGTAGATCGATGTTCATGCTGTTGATTACTGGATTGTCTAGTCCAGACTCGATTATTTGCAGACCTCTGCCATATAGCTGGAATATTGCGGAGTGTTTTTAGAATTATCAGCTAAAGAAAAATGGTATTATAAAGACTTTGTTATTGACGTTGTGAATTCATATAGATATCTTGGTATTATATTTTCATCCACGTTTAAAATGAATAAATGTACAGACGATCTAGCACTGAGAGGAAAAAGAGCATTGTTACAAATATTATATAACTTAAGAAAGATTGATGTGATTGATCCTAGGGTATTCTTTAAAATATTTGATTCACAATTTCAACCAATTTTACTTTATGGTGCGGAGGTATGGGGGTTAGCCGCTATGAGAATATTGAAAAAGTTCATTTGCTTGCATGTAAGAGATTTCTAAATGTAGGATTACAGACGCCTAATGTTATAATATATGGTGAATGTGGACGATATCCTTTGTATATAAATGCCTTATGTCGAGTTATTAAACATTGGTTAAAACTTACAGAAATGCACTCTGGTAGAATACCCAAAAATCATATGACATGTCAGTATACTTAGATAACATTGGGCAAAATAATTTTATGCTTCTCATATTCGTAATATACTTTTTTCACATGGATTTGGCTTTGTATGGTTAGCACAAAGTGTAGGCAATAAGGTTGATTTTCTTAGATGTTTTAAAGATGTGACATTGTGACGTAATGCAAAATTGTTCGACTACGAGGGGGGTAGACTAGAATGGAGCAGTGACGCCAATACATTGAGACGTAATGCAAAAAGTGCACATTATCGTCTGATAAAGTACTGTCGGCACCTTTGATCTTTCACCGAAGCATCTTAGAATCTAGTTTATTACAAATCACAGACGAAAACCCACATGCAATATTTTGTTGCATGTAGCCAATACCTGAATAATTAATCAACGGAATTTAGGAGTCAGGCCAATATCTGTCACGACTGTGTCCACATTGTATTTAACATGTATATCACTCGGCATATTTGATTCATGATTTCTTTGATTAGCCCACACTTATGTAAATTTGAATGTTCCGTCAGTAGGGAACAAATGTATGATCAAATGTATATCATGATACCTTGCCATATTAGAGTACCGTCAATTCTGGTACAGTGGATCAGCATTTTCCGTTTAATTAGTGTTTGTTTGCTGTAAAAAAGCAAGCATTTAAGGTAGGAATCAATATTTTTTAACTTAGTTGTGACTTTCACAGATTGTTCAATAAATGATCTCTGTAATTCTTCCGTATACTGTCAAAAGGATTTCACTGAGCCACTTGCTGTTTATTGAAACATTGAAATAATATTAAAGACAGAAGTCAATGAAGAGCATGTATTGTTTTTTGTTTCAGATGAATATTTCCGACCGGTGCTGAAGAGGGATCGTCATTGCTTGGTACATTGGTGGTACTACCCTGACAGGTAACAGAAGAATGTTATGCCTGCATTTACCAGACATCTGTCCTTGTTTAGGGGCGGTGGGGTAGCCTAATGGTTAAAGCGTTGGCTCGTCACGCTGAGGATCCGGGTTCGAATCCCCACATGGGTGCAATGTGTGAAGCCCATTTCTGGTGTCCCCCGCCGTGATGTTGCTGGAATATTGCTAATAGCGGCGTAAAACCAAACTCAGTCAGTCAGTCTATCCTTGTTTGGTTGATTCTACCAATAAAACAGCAAACAGCAATGTTATCATTTGAACTATATGGTTCGAATTTGAAACTGAACAGAGAAATGTCTGTTTACATTTGTATTCCGTCTTTGTACTCATTGTACTTGTGCCGTTGAATGTGAGTTCGCCTCACTTTAACATCATCCTTTGAATGGTGGAAAGATAAGGTAAAATGGCTATATACCAGAAATATAGTGATGGGATTCTTGTGCTAGTCACCTCACTTACTTTCATGGTGGTGGTGGAATTTGGTTTAACGTCGTGCTTGAGAATATTTCGCTCATATGACGACGTGCATGCGTGTGTATGTGTATGTGTATGTGAATGTGCGGCTGTTTGTACTAGCCCAGGCTGAAGCTGGTTTTATAGTGCTAGCCCACTGAGATACCATGCCGCAGTGAAGCATGAATACCCCACTCTGACACATTATACTGACTCCGAGCCTACCAGGCCTTGTTGTACCCGTTAATGCCGAGCGCCAGACAGGGACCAACAAGTACCATATTTTAACGTCTTCTGGTGTGACATGGTCGGGGATCGAACCCGCGACCTTCCGCACTCCGGGCGTACGCTCTAACCACTACACCACGGAGGCGGTCATTTACTTTCATGAAGACTGTTGGTGCCAACACAAAAAATTTCATATTCAGAAGTAATCCATATTTAGATATTTATGATGCAGTCATATCAAATAGAACAGTTTCATTATAGTGGTATTCACACTGTTGAAATGCCCATAAAGGTGGACACACTCTAACGGTGTGATTTGTTTTCAGCTATGATACCTGGGTGACCGATACCAACATTGACTACGAGCCAGACTCGCCATACTCTCACCAGGGTGCCTTCGAGGTTGGTAATGGTTAAAATGAACCTGGACATTTCCAGTAACAAATAAATCAGAATATGTGTAAATATTTATCTATTTTTCAAAATGTGCGGTTTTCTTCTGGCTGAAATGGGAAGGGAGGTAATTAATCTTTGGGTTATCTCCCTTCCCTACCATGTTTTTGTGTGTGTGTGTTTTTTTGTTTTTTATGTTTGGGATGTAAGAGAACATGTATTCTGACACATTTCTGACCGTTGCTTGATAGTCGTATCACATGTCCTACTGTACATTTCAGGTGAGTGCAAGATGGCTGCTGGACTTGGAGGAATTCAATGAATGGATGAATGAAGAGGACTATTTGGTTGAAGATGAATTCAATGTATGTATAGACTTCTTGTACGTTTGAGAAAATATGATGTAAATATTTGGTAGCAAAGAAACTATATTCTTTAACCAGAGTCCTGAGATGATTTTAATTTTTTACTTTGAGAACTTATACCTTTGACTATCTAGCACCATGTTTATGTTGTTCATCTTTCTTTGTATTCACAAGATTATTGCTACTTCTCCTGCTTATGTGTTTTGATTATTATGTTTACCATATTGAGTTCCTGCTCAGCACGATAAGCATACAGTTACAAACGTATACCTGAACCTATAGGCAATTTTTTTATTGGGGCCGGTGGGGTAGCCTAGTTGTTAAGGCGTTCGCTTGTTACGCTGATGACCAGGGTTTGATTCCCGACGTGGGCCCAATATGTGAAGCCCATTTGTTCTGTACCCCGCCGTGATATTGCTGGAGTATTTCTAAAAGTGGCGTGAAACTACATTCACTCACTCTTGTGTAGTGCTGTCTTTGGCAGCTGGAAATTCACAACTGAAAATTTGCTTGCTGAACTAACATCGCTTCTGGGTAAACAAATCCAGTCAGTTGTGTATGGTTTTAATAGGCACTCAAATTTAATAACTGCTAATATAAAGTGGGGTGCTTATTACACTCAATATAGAAGACAGAACAGGATATTAATATGTTTAAAAAATGTCTACAGTGTGTTTTGATCTGACTTTTCCACCCAAATTATACTGATGGACTGTGACACGACAAATGCCTTTTGTAGTGGGGTTAAACAATTGATATCAGGCTAAATGTTTCACTGTTCTACATATCGTCTATCTATCGAAATATCGGCTGACTTTCAGGCTGATGGCAGTAATAAGAAGTACAAGAAATCAAACAGATTGAAGTTGACAGTCGAAGATGTAAGTATTTGTCCTTGTGTGCATTCTCGCAGTTGGTGTCACTTTTTGAGTAAAAGGTTCTGTATATGACTGCTGATCTTAGATTATGGTGTACGACATTATAGATAGTAGGCTTGTCATAAGAGGCAATTAGCAGGATCAAGTTGTCAGACTTGGTGATTTGGTAGATGCATGTTCTGAGAATCATAAACATTGTAATGGATTTGTGAACCATGATATTTTGGAAGGTCATTTTATATACTGAGTCAAAAAAGAAACTTCACATTCTTTCTGCAGGGCACTATAAAAGAACAAGAGATGGTAAGATGGTTAAATTGTTATTATTTCATTGCTGAGATCTGTGTAATGTACTCGATACACTGACAGTGCCATAATCAGTTCCATTAGGCTACACTGCCGTTCCAAAGCATGGGTATACAGAATGTCAAATCACAAGAATAAAAATGCGAAATTTCTCAGTTCAATATCGTGTATGGCCGTCCCCCGCATTCACCACTGCCAAACACCGTCTCCTCATCGACTGACTGATGCTTGTGAACATGTGGTTGGGGATTCTGCGCCATTGCTCTTGCAAGGCAGTGCCAAGTTCCTGCGAATTCTGAGGTTGGTTCCTAAGACCACGAAGCCTTCTCCCAAGTGCATCCCAAACGTGCTCTATTGGATTAAGGTCAGGGGACCTCGATGGCGAGTCCATGACGTTGATTCCAGCGTTTTGAAGGAAATTTTGTGTCAACATCGCGGTATGCGGCCGAGCATTATCATGCTGGAACTGTAGACCTGGGCCATGAGCCGCCATGAAAGGAACGAGTTCAGGGGTGAGCACCTGGTCGCGGTAAGCAGCAGCTGTGAGGTTTCCACGGATGACCAGAAGTCGGGAACGGTTGTTCCCACAGAAAGCACCCCACACCATACAACTACCGCCCCCGAATCTGTCGACTTCCTGTACACAACATTGGGCATACCGTTCATGACATCGTCTCCAGACTCTATGCCTGCCGTCCGCGAATCTGAAGGTAAACCTGGATTCATCGCTAAAGATGACTCGATTCCTGTCTCTCTGGGTCGATCGGAGGTGACGTTGGGCCCACAGCAGACGTTGACGTTGATGAAACGGCGTCAATATTGGCCCACGATATGGGCGTTGAGAATGGAGATTGGCAGCGCACAACCGATTTCAAATGGTCTGTGAGGACAGTCGACCTCTAAACATCTCAGCCCTGGTTCGTGTAGCCCGCAGAAATCTGTCACGTAGGTGACGTAGGACGATTTGACGGTCTTCTGCTCGTGATGTCACACGACCCGACCTTGGGCGATCAGAAGTGGTGCCAGTTTGTTGTAGCCGACCTCGCAAGTCATACACAGTACGACGGCTGCATCCCATTGCTCTTGCGACGTCAATAACTGATCTTCCTGCTTGCAACATGCCAACAGCACGTTCACCTTGCACATTTGACAATCGTGGCATTTCAAGTACTGTTAGAACTGTGGTTTAAAAGTGTTTTTTCAATTCTTGAGGCCAATGCAAACACGTGCATATGAAGAAAACTTCGATGCGCAGATCACGTGATCGACTGCACGTGCAAAACCTGATTTGGCACTAACGTCATTTGCACGACGAATGGATGGGTTTGAGTGGGTTTTGCTAACGTTTTTCTAGAGTCGAAAGATAGGGATCCCATTTCGGATACATAGATGTATCATCAGAGAAAAATTATTCATTATTTTTCTAATTACATTTTGTGAAGTTTCTTTTTGACTCAGTATATATTGTGTCTTCATTAATTTGTTGACATTTCAGTTGAACAACCCTGACCCTGACCGAAGAGATAAGAAAGACAAAAAAGGAAAGAGGAAACGATCACCATCACCTGTGCCAGAGAAGAAGAAGAGGAAGAGGTGGGTGCCAAAAGTGACTTGATCTATTGATATAGAGTATGATTCAAAAAATGGAAAGGGAAGGAAAACAATTTTCTGAATTACACCTGCTTTCATATTTAGTTCATTGTGAGATGAGGTTCTTATCTTTAGAACATGGACCAAAAGTAGTCAGCTTGTTGGCATCAACTAAATTCCAACACCTCGACATGTTAAAAGAGTGCTTCCTGGCAAATTTGAAAACCGAAAACTTAACCAATCACAAAGTGGTTCACTAACTAATGTGTGCTGTATTGACCCATCCAGTGGACGGACACCAGGCCTCAGTTCAACTAAGAAGAGGTCAGCTCGAGATGAAGAGGAGGAAGATTTGACCAAAGACATGGAGGAACCTACACCAGAACCCAACATCCAGGAGGTTGCCATTGCCAAACAAGGTCAGTCATAGGCTAATGTGAACCAAGTCATGTTGTTCTGCAAAGGTAGTCATGTTATGTAAAGGTAGTTATTGCATGTATTTTATGTGTATTTTATGTGTATTTTGGTGATGTATTTTGTGTGTATTTTGATTTGATCACACTTGGAAATGGTAAAAGATCTCATTAGTCTGGAAGCCCGTTGGAAATAGTCTGGAAGCCCAATGGGAGCTTGTCATATCAGTAACAGGCCACTGACATCGACTTGTTTTTTTGGGCCCTGTGTTTCTTACAGAGTTTAATTTCATTGCCAATAATAAGTTATACCTGGATGTTACAATTTGCTCTTCCATTGTGTCCAAAATATGGAAGTATTGTTCCTCTGTTTTCAGCTACTGGATCGCGGAGTCAGAAGGACAGTGAACTGCAGCCTATCAAGGGAGGGACACTGATGGACATAGAAGAGGACCAGGGGGACAAGGTCAGTCCTCGCTCATTTTGCATGCCTCAGTTACATAGATCGATGCTCCTGCTGTTGATCACTGGATGGTCCAGGCTCAGTTATTTACGTCCTGCCGTCATATAGCTGGAATATTGTTGTGTGCTGCGAAAAACTCACTCACTCACTCACTCACTCACTCACTCACTCACTCACTCACTCACTCACTCACTCACTCACTCACTATGGACCTGTTGGTCAGGTGCTTTCATTGATGGTGTGCCATCGTACACAGACGACATGGTTTGTTACTTACTGTGTCAACAACGGAATTGTCTGGTACTAATTTGGTTATTTACTAGTGGTGCACCGATCTATCAAATAATCGGGTTTTTTATCATTTGACACACAAATTTCGATTATCAATTTTAAGAATTTCCAATCGATAACACTGTATACTATCTTCAAGAATAACATTTAAATGATTGGTGTGTACATGCAAGATTTGTAAATACCTCACCATCGCAGCTGTAATACAGGAAGTCAAGTCTATTTATAGCTTGCCGGGGGAGCAGTCTTTTTCTTCTTGTGCAGGTCGTGGCTTGCAGTGTAATAACAGTTTTAATGTGGATGCATATATTATTTAGACCCATGTTTAAATATGCAAGCATTGATGAAGGTTTCGTAAATGTTGTATGTTATGAAAATGTGGCTTTAAAAACAACATATACTCCTGAGAACTATAATAGGTGATTGAAACAAGCGGTTTGATTGGCTGGGCAGACTGTCAACAAAATGCCTGCTTTCCCGCACATGTGTCCGCTTTGAAGAAAACAAGGCTACCCCACCACCGCAAACCTAATGGAAAAAGAAAGCCAGCTAGCTGCACTGTTTATATGACACAGAACACGGGATGAATCTATGTGTATTAAATAAAATATGTCATTAGTTGGTCTGATTGTCTGAATGTGAGTTTTGTAGTTTGAAATTCAATAAAAAATGTGTTTAATGGGGTTTTGGGAGGACAATGAGAAGAAATGGTATTTCTGTGACATTCTGAAGGAATTCCACTTCGTTGCATGTGCTGCTTTCAATCATAAGTAATAGGACGGCTCTATCTCTTTACACTGAACATGAAGTAAAAAGTAAAAGTAAACTCCCACACTCTCAGGTTGAGCCGGAGCGGGCGGAGACCGGATCCACGACAGACGAGGGGTCTAAGAAGGACAAGGAGGACCAGGAAGACAACCTGACGGAACAGACTCACCACATCGTCATTCCCAGCTACTCAGCCTGGTTCGACTACAACAGCATCCACGCCATCGAGCGGCGAGCGCTGCCTGAATTCTTCAATGGAAAGAACAAATCAAAAACTCCAGAAATGTAAGTCTTGTGGATGATTTTTCCTGTGGGTATTCCAGGTGAGGATATTTCCCAGCACCCTGTGCTTGTTGTGGAAATGACACAGTGGTTTTTGACACAGTGGAGTAGCAGAGATGCCAACCTCTATGATTTTATCGTAGTTGCTACGAATTTTAGCCTCAAACTACCAAGTATGATTGCACTAGAAATTCTACGAAAATTGGAAGAAAATTCATTAAAATTTGGATGTAATAGATAAAAACATATATTTTGGTCGATTAAATACATTTTCGCCAAAAAGAACGCAAGCCTCCTCGTACTTTAACTATAATAGTTCAGGGCGAAAGTGTATTTTATTACACTATACATGGTGGTAGAGCGAACTGTATTTCTTAAATAATACACTCAATACCATTGTAAAAGTGGCATGCAGCTGTCTTTCAGAGATTAAATGTTTGTCATCTTATTCTTAACAAAAAGCAGCATTAATTCCATCTCACACAACCAGTAGTATTCTTTGGAAGAAAGATTTTCATTATAACATATTATGGGTATCGAAAGAATGTATGCATATGTTCCATTTTCTTGCCTAATGAATATTTGTTAAATCAGTGTCTGAAAGTTTCATGTAAATTGACTTTTGCAGCTACATGGCATATCGTAACTTCATGATTGACACATATCGCCTCAACCCGACGGAATATGTGATCAGCACAGCCTGCAGGACCAGCACTGCCAATAATGAGCAGGAGGAACTCTGGCTGAAAATGCAGAATGTCATGACAGCTGCAATAATGAGGTAAGTGTCTAACTGAAAATGACCTTCAGTCTGGGCTAGTACAAGCAGCCACTGACATGAAAACCTACTGAAAAACTGCAGTGACCGTGATTGTACACCTACTGAAAATGACAGCTATGCTGTAGCCTGAGGCTAGAGTCAAACGAATGCTTTTCCCCCATTAACTACTTACATAAACCAGAGGTCTAAACTGTTGTTATTTGTGTAAATGCATGTTAAATCATTTTAGTGATGTGCCTGTTACCAGTCATATTAAAATAGCTATGTCTGTGGTATGAAGTTTTTGAAAGACAATTTGAAGTTGGACTAATAAAAAAAGAATTTGTTATCCATAAAACATGTCATGTATTCATGCCTGTGGGCGCTGTTCTTGAGGAACATGCTTCAAATTTGGGATGTAGGTTATACAGGAAATAACATTAGAGGTGAAGTGATGGATTCATGTTGTGTATCTGCTTGCAGAGTTCATGCCTTCCTGGAACAGTGGGGTCTAGTCAACTACCAGGTGGATACGGACACTCGCCCCACCCCCATGGGACCCCCACCCACGTCTCACTTCCACATCCTGGCAGACACCCCCTCTGGTCTGCAGCCCATCAACCCACCCAAGACCAATCAGGTAATATCACTTTGATGTGCCGTTTCACTAAGCAATCTAAGCACCTTCTTTGTTAAAGTATTAGCATTTCATCTGTGACTGTCTTTAGTTTGAAATTTGATCCAGAAATAATATGTTGTGACATTAGGAAAATCTTTGTCAGAGTGACTCTCCACGCAGGTCAGTGTTATCAATAATGTGTACATTTTGGAGTTTGTATTGCATCTTGTAGTACTCTTGACTGCATGGTAGGATGCTCATTATATCAATCACTGGTTTGTCTGGTCCAGAGTCAAACATTTACAGGCTATGGTAGTCCAAACCCTACAGAATGCTGGCGCCAGTACAGAGGGTATTAAGAGACCTTTTATGTGCGCTTCATTGACTTTGCCCAAGTCCGTGAATAGTTTGGTTCTGCAGTTCGAATTTATAATCCACATTTCCCAGAAACCACCTCGATTGATCCTGCTGGTGGCATATTTCTGTGTGCACCATTACACCGCAAATAAATATTTCAAACTGATACAAGGACTTGTCCCAACAGCCACCAGCAGCCCAGCAGATCATGGACTTCAGTGAGAAGACCGAGGACAAGGAAGATGACAAGAGAGATATGAGCAAGTTTGGTCTCCGAATGGACATCTATGCTAAGAAAGCCCTGAAGGTAAGGGTTAAGCTAAAACCTGTGATTACATTATTTGAACGTCTTGTTATTTTCAAGATTATCTGTGACTGGTACTTTAGCCACACGTCTGTAGTACATTCATTTCAGTGTCATAAGCTTTGCTAATACGAGTCTGTTTATGAATCTACAGCAGATGTACAGAACATTATGTCAGTGTACAGATTCAGATTCAATCTTTTTGACACAGACTCGCATTATCTGACATGACTTTGTTTTGTATCAAGAGTAATCTTTGTTTGACCCGAAACAAGTGTCCTTGACATTTAACTGTCATGTTTTTGATCTAAAGAGATGTGTGCGTGTGCGGTGCGTGCGTTCCAAATTGAAAGTTGAATAGGAGTAGACTGCATGTCAGTAGGACCATTTAATCAGACCTCACTATGGTTGTGTCCAGGACAAGAGTGCTGCATCGCGGATGCGTGAGTGGACAGACCAGGAGACGCTGCTGTTACTGGAGGCGCTGGAGATGTACAAGGACGACTGGAACAAGGTGTGTGAGCACGTCGGCAGCCGTACCCAGGACGAGTGCATCCTTCACTTCCTGCGTCTTCCCATCGAGGACCCCTACTTGGAGGAAGATTACCAGCAGCTGGGTGAGTTAAGCGCCCTCGACCCCGACCCCGACCCCGACCCCAATTCCGCCAGATGGCATATTTCACAGAGAGGGGTATTATGACGTCTTATATCCCACAATTAGCTTCAGAGATTGTGTTAGCTTGATGATCATAGATTACAAGACTCACCCTGTTTGTGTGTCATGGTTTGTTAGGATAGAACCTCTGCTAATGTGATAACACTGAAATTCTGACTTCTGTGACACAAGGGGGAAATTTTAAGAGAGAATTATGTGCTGGTCATCCAGCAGTTTAGGCCATACTTCTTTTATTTCTGGGGCGGTGGGGTAGCCCAGTGGTTAAAAGCGTTAAGCTCATCACACGAAGGGGTTTCGATTCCCCACATGGGTACAATGTGTGAAGCCCATTTCTGGTGTCCTCCGCCGTTTATTGCTGGAATATTGCTCAAAAGCCGGCGTAAAAACCATACTCAGTCAGTCAGTCTTTTATTTCTTGGTTTACTATTTGTACATGTTTCTGGTCAGATTGAACCTGTTTTCATGATCCTATAGTGCGTTGGAAAAATTTTGAATTCATATTTCTTTCGTTCTTCATGATGTTTGTTATGAGTTTGTTGCCATGCGATCAGTCTTAACAGTTGTTATTGTGATGTTTCAGGACCACTGACATACCAGCCCATTCCATTCTCCCAGAGTGGGAATCCCATCATGTCTACCGTGGCTTTCCTTGCTTCCATCGTAGACCCCAGAGTTGCAAGTGCAGCTGCCAAGTCAGCCTTAGGTATGATATACACAACTTGATTTCATGAGAGAATTCTGGGTTAGAAATGGTCCTACGCAAACTGTGTACTCTTAAGAATCAGCTTAATGGACCAGATGGTGAGGTCAATAACTTGGTTGACTGCTTGTCATTGTACCCTGATGGCCTGGATAGTTTCAGAGAAGAGTCCAGAGTCCAGACTCTGAATATTACTGACTGTGGGGATAACAAACAAAAACATGCGTGCTCATACACTCTTCACGTGTGTTTGACATTCGAAACAAATCCGGGTTCGAATCCCCACATGGGTACAATGTGTGAAGCCCTTTTCTGGTGTCCCCCGCCGTGATGTTGCTGGAATATTGCTAAAAGCGGCGTAAAACCAAACTCAGTCAGTCAGTCGAAACAAATCCTCATAGTATTTGGTAAACAAAATGACTTCAGCACAGATTTTAAGTAGGCCATCAGCTAAGATTAAGGCTTGAAAAGAGCCTTGAACATATTGCTCAATGTTTTACATGATATTCAGTTAAACTTCAGATTCCAAGAAAAGAAAATCAGTCACAGATTAACAAATCATTAGAATAGAGTGACATTCTTTCTTGTGTCACCAACAAGAACTTCTGGGGTAACTGGGTCCATGTTCACAAGATTTCACTATAACAGAACATTTTAATGTTTGATGGTATTGTGTCTATTATCCAAAATGTTTTCCTTGCGTTGCAGAGGAGTTCTCTAAGATGAAGGATGAGGTCCCACCAACGCTGATCGATGCCCAGTCTAAGATGATCGAGGAGGCAACAAAAGAAGGCAAGGCAGTTGATGCCTCCTTCTGTCTGGAGAAAAGTGGAATTGCAGGAACTGCCCCTGAGAAAGAAGAAGGTGGTATCAAGGGTGATGATGCATTCCATATTCTTTTGAATTCAGGCAGTCAATCACAGCAATTTTCTTCTATCACAATATAGATGTGACCAGACAGTTTTCAGTAACACCTGTTTGTTGTTTCTAATAGGTTATCAGTTTTATAAGCAATTTTCAAAAAGCTCTTTAGTGGTCTTTTTGATATCATTGTCATGTAGATAATTTTGAACTAATAGAGTTCAGAGTATTAATTTTGGAATAATTTTTTATGTCACATTTTCCTGTCAATTTGGACTTGTTGGTCTGCCAGGTTGCTGATGCAGTGTTAGGAAATTTTTCGCTCACTCAGTAACAGCAGCTGTAAGGATCTGCTGATGTTTCGATCCCAGATTAATGTAGGATGAGCCCGTGGGTATCCTTTCACTCATCAATCATAGTGCTGTGGTAGCCGAAGTTTATACTATATCAGGGCTACAGATAAGGGGCGTACAGGCGTAATGTACGCCTCAAAATGAATTAAGTATGACATAATATAAGATTTCAAGCATATCGTGTACGCACATAAATACCTTCGTACATCTAGCATTTAATTTCCGTGCGTATATCGTGCAAATGGAAATCTATTTCGGATAAATACTTGTTAAGTTTTTTTTTTTTTTTGTTTTGACATATAAAGGAAACCCCGACAAGTAGGAATCCCATGCAACGATATGCGTCACTATTTTTCGATTGGCTAAAAACTACACTGTTCCTATTTATATCCAGTCGGACCTGACATTTGGCGCATCACACAGTCGCTCAGTTATTTCTCACGCGTCTTCAAATACAAATACATGGTTGGAAATAGTGATCGATGAATCGTCCAGACAAACCACATCAACTCGCTCACACAAAAACATGTCAGTACTCCTTCAAAATTCTCAGTACACCTCCACTTGCAATATGATGTGTAAGTACACTTACACCCCCAAAAGTTATCTGGAGCCCTGCTATATTATAGACATTACGATATTCGTTGTGCTCAAGTGGCTTTGCGAGAATGAGAGGGTCACGTCCTTGCACCTCAGTCTCTCAAAGTGATTAACTGTGCTGTGTGACCTTCCTACCCATATTAAGCTGATGAACTGGGATACTGAAATACTTTTCATAAGCAGCTATAAGACAAGCTCATACTTCCATCTATTTTACAAGTCATGAAGTGACAGGGCATGGATTGCAATTTCTGCTGAACAGGATGGCATTGCAGCATAATAATGTTTACCTATACCTCTTTTGTGTCAATAATGTTTACCTCTACCTTGCTGGAACTTTGCTTTTAACTTCCTTCTCTATAGATTGTTATATTATTTGGATTATTTCGTACTTACATCACTTACATCACAGAATGTTATTCCCAATGGTGTTACTTGATTAAGACAATTCTTTGCTTCTCTTCAGAGCCTGCAGAGCCCCTGAATGGGGAAGAAGCCAAACCTGCTGAACCTGAGGAGACAAAGAAGGAAATAAAAGAAGAAAAGAAGGATGAGTCTGTAAGTTGGAGCACTTTATATATTCAAACCTGTTTTTTAAAAAGTGGACCTTGCTACTATCCGAGCTTTCAAAATAGACTGCACCTGTTTCCTATGCAATGAAAAGTACATTGGTCCGCGTTACCTTGAAAGGGAGATAACTCAACATGAACAACTTCTGCTATTTCGGGGGCTACAAATAGTAAATGTAAACTTATTTCTTCTGTGGGATACAGCTGTAGAATGTAATTTTTAAACTTATCCTATCTCACAACTTGCACCTCTCTCTGTTGCTTCGACTTTTAGTGGAACGACTGTAAACTTTTTTCCATAGGCCTCCTTGTCCATTCACCCGTGCACTCAATGCTGCCCTCCTTAATTAGCTTCCTAGTTCCTAATGAAGCTTGCAGCATGCTCCACTAATTGCCCACGTGACTACCTTGAATGATCATTCTCTTTCTTGTCGCACGACTGTGGACGTGCTGTATATTAGGGACATTATTTCACCCTAACATCATTGGGAAAACAGATAATCAGTCAATGTATTGTGCTCAATGAAAGACGAATTATTCGTCCCTCGACCCTCACTCGTCTTGCAGTGACTGTATTGGACAAACTGGAACAAACGATGTGGCAAGTGTAATTCACTAAAAGATGAGGATTTTAAGGCCTACCTTTGTGTTTGCTCTCGGAGAATCGGCGATAGGGACAGGAAATCAACAGAATCTTATCTTACTCCCACTAAGCGTATCAAGTTACAGCGACAGAAAATCGTACCTTCACGCAAGAGAGCGACGTCTGTGGTTCAAGATGATTTTATGGACGCTTCATGAGATTCTTACTTATCTGAGGACATTCGGCAATCCAGTTGCGATCCAGAGCACAACTACGATCCACATCACCAGATCAATCCAGATCACCTAACCGATCCAGATCACCAAACGGGTCCAGATCACAACTTCGAATCAGATCACCGGACTGATCCAGATCACAACATTGAAGTAGATCATCGGACCGATCCAGATCACCTAATCAATCCAGATCCCGCTCTTCATCTGGTCCACCTCCTGAGATTGATCCAGTCCAAATAGCCATGCCTGCATCTCCCGATCACTCTGAGTTATCTACCCCTAGCGGTAGCTTTGCAGCAGTTGAGACACCTCAGGTACTCCTTTGGATTGTTGAGAAGCTCCAACTTCCCTTGAGTACTTCAGCAGATGACCTGGATCACTCTTATACTCTTAGGAACCGGGATTGGTCTACCATCACCCTACCACCTCGACCTTGTATTCTGAAATTATCCAGTACACTAAATGATGGTTTCAAGAGCCTGAAACGAATTAAGGACGGATTCTCTGCTCCCAGATATAATCCTTCTACCTCTCATGTCCACGGCCTAACAAAAATCTCTACGGCTCCAACAGTTGATGAGGATAATGGAACCCTGTGTGGCAAACGAGCTGCTTCGCCCTACCTTATTGAGGACCGAGAGTTGGCTCACATGAATTCAGCCATGAGAAAGACGTTGCCATTTATTAGTTGCGTGATTGCAGCAGTCGATGCTGTTAACACTGCTCTGGAGCATACTTATTCTGATCAAGACGTTTACATCCAAGGATGCATGACTTTAGCTCTGGACCAGTTCCAAATTATCCTGGATCAGTTGTCTCATTTTTTTGGGCTACACTCTTGCTGTGCCGACGTGGATCCCTTAACATCTCTTCATGGGAGTAGCGATTTAAAACAGAACTGTTTCGCCAGCCTTGGTTTACTGACTCCCTCTTCAATGGTAGCATCCGGAAAAGCATCTAATAAAGTTGATAAAGAAACCCGCTTTCAAGTCTCGATTGAACTGTTGAACAAGATACAGAAGTCACAGCTCCAGGACTCATTAAAACAGCGTCGAACTGCACAGTTCACCCCTACCAATCCGGATTTACGCAATCTTTTTCGTGGCGCATCCACTCAAGGCCGTGGCAGAGGAAACAGATCTGGCCATGGTGGTTCCCCAAGCAACTATGGCCCAGGGACAACACTCCGGTAGGCGGGAGATTACAAATCTTCGCCCCGAATTGGACCATCCTCAGAGATCCGTACGTCACCAACCTGCTACTTCACAGCTATCAGCTACCCGTTATTGGCAGTCCACCTCTGACGTCGCATCCGGCTCATCGCTCATATCCTGTGGACCAGTTTCAGACTCTGCAATCCACAATAGGTACGCTATTAGACAAACTCACGATAGAGCTCCTAGGTCCATCGCCCGTCACTCCAGGATTCTACTCCCTCATCTTCTTGGTTCCAAAGAAAAAATTCCAACAAACTCCGGCTCATCTTCAATATGAAGTTGTTCAATGCCCGTTTCCTGCTTCCACCGCCTCACTTCACCTCAAGGTGGTAATTCAAGCCATCTCACATTGGGCAACAGAGCTTCAATCAACTAGTCTGTTGATCCAATCAGACAATTCGACAGTGGTTTGGCATATAAATCATCTAGGCTCGACGAATCTGCTACAATGGGCGATCAGGTTCTTCCGTCTCATCGACTCACTCAACATTGTAGCCAAAGCCAGACACATTCCCGGGTTAAAAAATGTGATCGCCGATGCCTTGTCCTGATCCAACCAACCGTCCCCGACAAAGTGGAAGTTACTGCCCCAGATCTTTCAGTCGATGATCTACCTGTTATCACAGCCTCAAATAGATCTGTTCGCCACAAGGTTCAACATCCAACTTCCAAAGTTCGTATCACCAATCCTAGACTCCTTGGCGTGGGACCTCGACGCGTTGGCAATATCATGGGAGGGTCTCAATGCCTATGCGTTCCCCCCTCCAGCTCTGCTACCAAAAGTAATACAGAAACTATTGGCCACCATACTACTGCTTTTGGTCACACCCTTCTGGCCAGCGAGAAGTTGGTACGTCAACCTAAGAAGCCTGGCAGAGCCAAACCCAGTACCGCTTCCCAACCGGGATGACCTACTTCTTCACCCTCACTCAGAACTGCGCCACGGGTCACCTCAGACCCTCAATCCACACGTTTGGCGCATCTTCAGAGGTCTGTCATAGCTAAGGGCTACTCTCGCTGAGTAGCCACAGCTATCACTTCAGTGCATCGTACTTTGACCCATTCCTTGTACGACAACAAGTGGAAGAAGTTTGAAGACTATTGCAAGCTTAGGGGAATTGCATCTCCCACTTCCACCTCGGCTCAGGTCATTGCTGAGTTTCTCCAGCATCTCCGCACTACTAAGAAACTCAAGGGTACTACGTTAGCTACCTACTTAGCCGCTATTAACTCGGTTTTGGCTACCACCACGGGCACGAAGATTTCCACTGTTCCCGAGTTGCAGAGTCTACTACGCTCCTATAGACTCTCTGACCAGTCCAGGAAGTTCAGACCTCCGGCCTGGGATCTGTCCGTCGTCCTTCGTCATATGATTTCTACAGATTATGAACCTTTAGAAGACAAGGACTTCGAACAAGTGACATTCAAGACATTCTTCCTGGTAGCTTTGGCTACCGCTGCTTGTATATCTGAACTGCATGCTCTTGATGTCAATCGGGTGCGGTTCGAGCGGAAGAAGCATGGCAAGGCTTTCCTGGTTCTCCGCTGGGACTTCATTGCGAAAACCAACTGCCAGGGCAACCGGACCGGATGTTTACCATTGCCCCATTGTCCACCATTCTTGGGCCTGATGATAATGAAGATTTGACACTCTTAGGGCTCTACACGTTTACCTTGCTGCCTGCAAGGATCGTCAACGGCTACAGAAACGCCTCTTCATACCCTTGTCGAACGCTTCAAGAACTGAGGTTTCCCGGACTACATTGGCCTTCTGGATGCGTGCGACGATCCTTAGAGCTTACACCTTTGCAGGGTTGCCTCCTCCATCCGCTTCCAATCCTCATGAGACTCGTGCACTAGCCTCGACGATGGCCCTCCATATCAACTGCTCCTTGACCGCTATCATGGTAAGGTTGCTTCTGGCGTTCTGATACAGTCTTCTCTTCACATTACCTGCGAGACCTGTCTGTCCAGGGACTACACCAGTTCGGACCTCTTGTACTGGCTCAGCAGCTTACATCGGCCCAACAACGCAGATGAGGGACGGTTCCGCATTTGCGTTACTGCTTCCTTGTATATACTGAATAAAAGTTGAACTGGATCTCAACCTTTTGTTCTCATTATATGGGTTTAAGAACTACTTCATTTGGCTTCCATACCAAGGCATCGGAATACGGCCACCTAGCGTGGCCCTATGAACCTGAGGCACATTCAGTATGACGATGCAGAGGTGTTCGACATTCACACGCTTACTGACCTATACTCCACGGAGCAATTATGTCAGTGAAGTGTGACACTCCTGAATTCCAGTGGATTTCGTTGCGTTCTGCCTCCAAAGTTGCCGGGCACATCCTTTGACAAAGCTTAGGCAAAGGAGTGAGGGTCAATTTGATGCTGCCTAGCACTGATCGTTAGACCTTGGAGATGCTGAGTTGCGTTCTCTTTCACCCACCTCGGTCGGTGTCTGGGGGGCCTTCTTGAAGCAGGGGCTGGCCCGATTCTAGTCACAAGACTTTTAATTACGGGGGTACCGTGTAAATCGTGGCGAGGCGAGGCCTACTTGCCGAGTTGCGTCCCTTGTCTTGTACAAGGTTGCGGCCGAACACCACATCGCTCGGGAGCACCCATCTCCTGGGAGTTGTGTTTAGTAAGCCAAGGGGTTCTGGAGAACCCACTACAAGCATAAGAGTTGCGTGCATGCATAACAGGCCTCCCTTGTACATCGCTATCTACGGTTGTCATCAGTCCACACAGCTCCAAGACCAGCTGTTCGCACTGTCCAGACGGGTAATCTGCGGCCAGCCGTCCAACCGTGGGATAAGTGCAAGTCGTGAGATAGGATAAGTTTAAAAATCTGGAAATTTTAATATAAATTGTATATTTATATACTTATCCTATCTCACACGATGGATGCCCGCCCAGCCTCCCCACTACTCAGATTACAACTTTGGCTCCAAGATGAGAATGATCATTCAAGGTAGTCACGTGGGCAATTAGTGGAGCATGCTGCAAGCTTTATTAGGAACTAGGAAGCTAATTAAGGAGAGCAGCATGGAATGCACGGGCGAATGGACAAGGAGGCCTATGGAAAAAAGTTTACAGTCGTTTCCACTAAAAGTCGAAGCAAGAGAGAGAGGTACAAGTCGTGAGATAGGATAAGTATATAAATATACAATTTATATCAAAATTTCCAATATCAGTTTGTAAATCAAAAGACAATTTATTTATTTATTTATTATTTATTAACTGACTCCATTTTTTTGCGTTTATATATCAACAGTATCAAATTCTAATACTCCTTATTATTTCCCCGGCATGTAATGCAGGGGATATAGTCGACACCTCATCTGTCCTTCCTTCCATACGTCCGTCCGTAATCATTTTGTCTCTGGAGCATAACTCAAAAACTGCTCGATAGTTTTCAACAAAAATTGGTAGATATATACAGGTACTAAAGAGGTGCCTTTTGCTATTTACAGATTTTTGTCATTTTTATTTTTCTTGGATTCCATGGAAATATGTTTGACTTAGTCTCAGAAGGGAGGTGTGGTCTTAATTTCCGGAGCACAACTCGAAAACCCTTGAATATCTTTCTACAAAACTTGGCAGATATGTCAAACAGAACCTAAAGTGGTGCCTTTTGCTATTTACAGATATTGTCTTTTTTTTCTTTCTTGGTTTCAATGGAAACATTTTGGACTTAGTATCAAAAGGGAGGGGTGGGCTTTGTTTCCGGAGCACAACTCGAAATCCATTCGATATCTTTCTACAAGACTTGGCAGATATATCAAACAGATCTTGAAGTGGCACCTTTTGCTATTTGCAGATTTTTTGCATTTATACTTTTCATGATTTCCATGGAAACAATTTGGACTTTAAGTAACTGTCAGATGATTTGTTCTTTCAAACTTGTGGGGGCCGGGGGATTTGTCATCTTCTGATAACACTAACACAAAGTAGACAAAAGTTTCAAGTCACTGACATCATTCACTAGGGGAGGTGGGGTAGCCTAGTGGTTAAAGTGTTCTCTTGTCACGCCAAAGACCGGGGTTGGATTCCCCACACGGGTACTGTCCAACATGTGAAGCCCATTTCTGATGATCCCCACCATGATATTGCTGGAATGTTGCTAAAAGCGGTGTAAAACCAAACTCCATCACTCACCCATTCAGAGGATTTGGTCAATTAAGAAGAAGTAAAGTGGTGTGGCCTAATTCCTTTTAGTTGCTCAAGGAAACTCCAACACAAATACGTTTGTAAGCCTGTTGAATAGCACATGATCTCATGCAAATATTTATATTCTGGTGTATTTCGTACAGTGCTGACGTTTTTAATAAAGGGTATTTGTTATACTGTACATGTTTGTGGCAGACATTACAGAAAGAAGATAACTGCATTTTATTGGCAGTTGTAGCCTGTGGTAGATACCCCTGTGATCACCACCACATACAAAACCAGTAACATGGTGCAAATACGGTGCTTCATTAATGTGTTGTAGATGTGAGGTTTATGTTAATGTATTATCTGTCAGAGTGAGGAGGCAATGGAGACAGACAGCACTGACGTGGTGACGAAGAAGGAGAAAGAGGATAAGGAAGAGACTGAAGAAAAGAAGGACAAGGAGGAGAAAGAAAAAGAGGAGGTGAAGGAGAAAGAACCTGAGAAAGAATCAAAAGATTCAGAAGAAAAACTGAAACTGCTGAGAAGGGAGAAGATGAAGAAAAGGAAAAGGTGAGAGGATTTATATGAGAAGCTGCTCTGGCACAAGAGAGGGAGATATGGAACAGGGAGAAAGAATCGCCATTTGATTTGTGCTAACAAAGGTACCCCTTGCATGTCACAGCTAAGGCTTTAGATGCAACCACCTGGAAGCTCATGTTACCACCTGATGATGATACAATCGCTTGAAAAATATGTTTGATGTGGACCAGCCAATCTGGAGATGAATGAAAGAGCAAAAAAATAATAACCCAAAATTTTCAGAGCTTATGGTTGTGATGATCTATCCATAAGTACAGTATGTAAATATATCTTGTTCAGGTTCTTTGTTACTAACACTTTCTTCTGTTCAGTCGAAGCCAGAAGATGAGAGTGAGAAGCCTGAAGACAAGGAAGCTACTGATAAGAAGGAAGGAGAGAAGGAGGAAGAAGGGAAGGAATTAGAGAAGGTTGATAAAGTCAAGGATGGCAAGGATGGCAACATCGCCACAGCTGCCGCCTCTGCTCTTGCAGCAGCTGCCGTCAAGGCAAAGGTGAGACAGTCATCCAGACATCTGAAATCAACCTCAGATATGCCTGGGGGGTTCTAAGGTCACACAAGGCAATTATATTGATCAGATGGGGTTGTTTGATGACTTGTTGATTTCCTGTTTGTTGGTCATAAGGACTGCACAATATTAGTGATATAGCTGTACACTGCAATACTGTTTTCAAATGATTCGTATTGTGAGATATTTTCTGTGGATACTAGGGGCGGTGGTGTAGCCTTACGGGTAAAGCATTTACTGGACAGGTAGAACAGCCAGGTAATCAACAAGTGCGTGCACTGAAATTTTAATTTCACACGTACAAGTCGCACACCTGGCTGTTCTTCCAGCAAGTGATCGTAAAAAATAGCGAAAAGTGACAACAAAATGATTATCGTTTGTTAAACAACGTTTTTATTCGGGTGTCCAAAATTATGAGCCAAATCATCAGATCTGGTCTGTCGATTTCATGTGACTATGCAAAATTTGGTTTTGTTGCAATTGTTAGATTTTGTGTTAGTGAGCAATTCATCGGTCTCAAATGAAGTCAAACGGACTATAGGTGTTAGTGGTACAGACTGGTAATACCATGTGATGCTTGCTTCAGCACCTGGCTGCTGTGTCTTCACATGTTGTAGAGTTGTGTAGGTGACATTGGTACAGACTGGTAATACCGTGTGATGCTTGCTTCAGTACCTGGCTGTTGTGTCTTCACATGTTGTAGAGTTGTGTAGGTGACATTGGTACAGACTGGTAATACCGTGTGATGCTTGCTTCAGCACCTGGCTGCTGTGCCTTCACATGTTATAGAGTTGTGTAGGTGTTAGTGGTACAGACTGGTAATACTATGTGATGCTTGCTTCAGCACCTGGCTGCTGTGTCTTCACATGTTGTAGAGTTGTGTAGGTGTTAGTGGTACAGACTGGTAATACCATGTGATGCTTGCTTCAGCACCTGGCTGCTGTGTCTTCACATGTTGTAGAGTTGTGTAGGTGTTAGTGGTACAGACTGGTAATACCTTGTGATGCTTGCTTCAGCACCTGGCTGCTGTGTCTTCACATGTTGTAGAGTTGTGTAGGTGTTAGTGGTACAGACTGGTAATACCATGTGATGCTTGCTTCAGCACCTGGCTGCTGTGTGTTCACATGTTGTAGAGTTGTGTAGGTGTTAGTGGTACAGACTGGTAATACCATGTGATGCTTGCGTCAGCACCTGGCTGCTGTGTCTTCACATGTTGTAGAGTTGTGTAGGTGTTAGTGGTACAGACTGGTAATACCATGTGATGCTTGCTTCCAGCACCTGGCTGCTGTGTCTTCACATGTTGTAGAATTGTGTAGGTGTTAGTGGTACAGACTGGTAATACCATGTGATGCTTGCTTCAGCACCTGGCTGCTGTGTCTTCACATGTTGTAGAGTTGTGTAGGTGTTAGTGGTACAGACTGGTAATACCTTGTGATGCTTGCTTCCAGCACCTGGCTGCTGTGTCTTCACATGTTGTAGAGTTGTGTAGGTGTTAGTGGTACAGACTGGTAATACCATGTGATGCTTGCTTCAGCACCTGGCTGCTGTGTCTTCACATGTTGTAGAGTTGTGTAGGTGTTAGTGGTACAGACTGGTAATACCATGTGATGCTTGCTTCAGCACCTGGCTGCTGTGTCTTCACATGTTGTAGAGTTGTGTAGGTGTTAGTGGTACAGACTGGTAATACCGTGTGATGCTTGCTTCAGCACCTGGCTGCTGTGTCTTCACATGTTGTAGAGAGTTGTGTAGGTGTTAGTGGTACAGACTGGTAATACCATGTGATGCTTGCTTCCAGCACCTGGCTGCTGTGTCTTCACATGTTGTAGAGTTGTGTAGGTGACATTGGTACAGACTGGTAATACCGTGTGATGCTTGCTTCAGCACCTGGCTGTTGTGTCTTCACATGTTGTAGAGTTGTGTAGGTGACATTGGTACAGACTGGTAATACCGTATGATGCTTGCTTCAGCACCTGGCTGCTGTGCCTTCACATGTTGTAGAGTTGTGTAGGTGTTAGTGGTACAGACTGGTAATACCATGTGATGCTTGCTTCAGCACCTGGCTGCTGTGTCTTCACATGTTGTAGAGTTGTGTAGGTGTTAGTGGTACAGACTGGTAATACCATGTGATGCTTGCTTCAGCACCTGGCTGCTGTGTCTTCACATGTTGTAGAGTTGTGTAGGTGTTAGTGGTACAGACTGGTAATACCATGTGATGCTTGCTTCAGCACCTGGCTGCTGTGTCTTCACATGTTGTAGAGTTGTGTAGGTGTTAGTGGTACAGACTGGTAATACCATGTGATGCTTGCTTCAGCACCTGGCTGCTGTGTCTTCACATGTTGTAGAGTTGTGTAGGTGTTAGTGGTACAGACTGGTAATACCATGTGATGCTTGCTTCAGCACCTGGCTGCTGTGTCTTCACATGTTGTAGAGTTGTGTAGGTGTTAGTGGTACAGACTGGTAATACCATGTGATGCTTGCTTCAGCACCTGGCTGTTGTGTCTTCACATGTTGTAGAGTTGTGTAGGTGTTAGTGGTACAGACTGGTAATACCATGTGATGCTTGCTTCAGCACCTGGCTGTTGTGTCTTCACATGTTGTAGAGTTGTGTAGGTGTTAGTGGTACAGACTGGTAATACCGCAGTGATGCTTGCTTCAGCACCTGGCTGCTGTGTCTTCACATGTTGTAGAGTTGTGTAGGTGTTAGTGGTACAGACTGGTAATACCATGTGATGCTTTGCTTCAGCACCTGGCTGCTGTGTCTCTGCACATGTTGTAGAGTTGTGTAGGTGTTAGTGGTACAGACTGGTAATACCATGTGATGCTTGCTTCAGCACCTGGCTGCTGTGTCTTCACATGTTGTAGAGTTGTGTAGGTGTTAGTGGTACAGACTGGTAATACCATGTGATGCTTGCTTCAGCACCTGGCTGCTGTGTCTTCACATGTTGTAGAGTTGTGTAGGCGTCATTGGTACAGACTGGTAATACCATGTGATGCTTGCTTCAGCACCTGGCTGCTGTGTCTTCACATGTTGTAGAGTTGTGTAGGTGTCATTGGTACAGACTGGTAATACCATGTGATGCTTGCTTCAGCACCTGGCTGCTGTGTCTTCACATGTTGTAGAGTTGTGTAGGCGTCATTGGTACAGACTGGTAATACCCTGTGATGCTTGCTTCAGCACCTGGCTGCTGTGTCTTCACATGTTGTAAAGTTGTGTAGGTGTCATTGGTACAGACTGGTAATACCATGTGATGCTTGCTTCAGCACCTGGCTGCTGTGTCTTCACATGTTGTAGAGTTGTGTAGGCGTCATTGGTACAGACTGGTAATACCATGTGATGCTTGCTTCAGCACCTGGCTGCTGTGTCTTCACATGTTGTAGAGTTGTGTAGGTGTTAGTGGTACAGACTGGTAATACCATGTGATGCTTGCTTCAGCACCTGGCTGCTGTGTCTTCACATGTAGAGTTGTGTAGGTGTCATTGGTACAGACTGGTAATACCGTGTGATGCTTGCTTCAGTACCTGGCTGCTGTGTCTTCACATGTTGTAGAGTTGTGTAGGTGTTAGTGGTACAGACTGGTAATACCATGTGATGCTTGCTTCAGCACCTGGCTGCTGTGGAGGAGAGGAAGATCAAGAGCCTGGTGGCGCTGCTGGTTGAGACACAGATGAAGAAGCTGGAGATCAAACTGAGACACTTTGAGGAACTTGAGACAATCATGGACAGGGAGAGAGAAGCGGTAGGTGTAGCTGAACCAGACGAATCTAAGTACCCCAACTGTTGGAACTCTAATCTTGCATATACTACAGCAGTAATAGCCATAGGACAGTTCAAGATTGGGATTGCTAAACTTAGTCCTCAATGGAGAATTGCTACATAATGGCCAATCCTTGTCCACTCTTTGTGCAGCAACCGTTAAGGTCCGTGTTAGGATATTGATCTTCAGTAACCCATGCTTGTTGTAAGAGGTGACTAACAGGATCAGTTGGTCAGGCTCGCTGACTTGGTTGACACATGTTATCAATTCCCAATTGCGCAGATCGATGCTCATGCTTTTGATCACTGGATTGTCTGGTCCAGACTCTATTATTTACAGACCACCGCCATATAGCTGGAATATTGCTGAGTGCGACGTAAAACTAAACTCACTCACTCTTTGTGCAGCTGTAATAATGAGGCCATTAAATGAGGCTCCAGTTTATGACCAGTGTTAAGACTAAAACTTTTGGAAGCAACATTCAGCTCTTTTCTCCTGTGTTATGTCGAATATTGTTGCAGCAGTCACATTCAATTATGTCTTGTACTATGACTAGTTCTGTTCCAACATTCAACTCTCTCTAGTATTATGGCCAATACTGTTCCAGCATTGAGCTCTCTCTAGTATTATGATTAATAAATACTGTTGCCACATTCAGCTCTAGTATGAAGAAAAATACCTTTGCAACATTCAGCAGGGGTTCAATTTTTTTTTTTAAAGCCACTTGCCACAGGGCAAGTGACTTGAAGAAAGTAACTTGTCCTGACTAATTTTCCACTTGCCCTGACTTTATGACATAATTATGATGATGTAATTATGAAAGAAGAAATCAACATGGTATTTGATGTTAATGTTTACTGGACTATTTATTGAAAAGTGATAAATAGCAAAGAAAGATAACTCTACTTTATTATCATCGCGAAATTAAATAGCTACATTTTGAGCAGATATGAAATTAAATCCAAGTTTATTTGCAGTTTGAAACCATAAGTGGAAATTATCTAGTAGCCCACGGACAAGTAAGATACCATTATTTGATTGCCTGAAATGAAAACTGACTTGTCCCGGGCGTCGGGCGATGGGATTTTGGACCCCTGATTCAGCACTCTAGTATCAAGAATAACATTTTTGCAACATTCAGCCCCCTGTCTGGTATTAACGCTGATTCTCTCCACAGCTGGAGTACCAGAGACAGCAGCTCCTGCAGGAGAGGCAGCAGTTCCACATGGAGCAGATCAGGGCAGCGGAGTACAGGGCCAGGCAGATTGCCATGCAGCAGCTGGCGTCGGAACAGAGACAGCAGCAGGCCCAGCAGCAGGGAGGGGATGCCGGTAGGGCTGACGTCTTAGTTCACTCACCTTGACTGTGTTTACCTCTACAGGAATACAGTGTCTGGATAGGCCCCGAGTGTGTCTCACAGAGCCTGGGTTTGGGTGGTCACACTCACTCTTTGTTGGTAGGACAGACATCTTAGTTCTCTCACGACTCCCATTGACTGTGTTTACCTCACAAGTGCCTCTAAGAGAGCTCAGTATATCTAGGTTGAGGTCATCTGGGTTTATGATTTGGTTTACCTGACTTCTTTGTGTGAGGGTCGGTGGGGTAGCCTAGTGGTTAAAGCATTGGCTCGTCACGCCGAAGATCCGGGTTCGAATCCCCACTTGGGTACAATGTGTGAAGCCCATTTCTGGTGTTCCCCGCCGTGATGTTGCTGGAATATTGCTAAAAGCGGCGTAAAACCAAACTCAGTCAGTCAGTCAGTTCTTTGTGTGAAGAATGGGTGATGTGTCATTGATTTGCATACATAGTCAGAATAGTTCTTCAGTACTTTGTTCTGAGAGCATCTATCTGTGATTAGGTGTCAGGTTTTGCAATGTGGTTCATCTTACCCAATTGTGTAGATAGGTAACGATGCTTTCATACACTGATTTCCCTTGCTCAATCATGGTTAATTACAGTTTGCCATGCAATGCATAAATATTCACATACTCATTCTTTGTTGGTAGGGCTAACATCTTTGACACAGAGGATTACACGGTTTAACTTCGCTTTATTCAGAATGAGTGCCTAATACCTCATGCTTGTTTCAAGATTCAACTAAGATTCTTGTGATCAGACTTGGCGACACTGCTGATAGTTTGTCTTTATCCTGATTATAAGATATGCTGTCAGGCATTGATTGTCATGCCTGAGTCAGGGGTGGAAATAACTTTAAAATTGCTAGTGTACAGTGGCACATGTAAAATCACTTGCCCTGATAATTTTTCCACTATACCGCCCGTTTTCTTGTTGATTTTTTAAATAAACAACATAATTAACATTGTAAAGTCAACTGGACACCTGTACAGTGTGATATACAGATTTGCTTGCCCGACAGAAAAAAACACTGGACTGGGACGTCGGGCAATGTGTTATTTCCACCCCTGTGAGTTATTCATTGGGAGCAGTGAGCAAAATGGAAATTCAAACATTCCCCTATGCACAGAGATATTTATGTATAGACACTGATTTGCCTGGTCAAGACCCTGCTTTGTTGCTATGCATGTTTACTTGGGGTATTTTCTATGAAACAGTCTGCCCAGGCTTCCAAAATATATCCAAAAATATTCACTCACTTATTATATTGTTCTGTGTTGGCTAACATTGATAAAACTGTAATACAACAAGGTTAGCACAACTAGCTCTTTCACCCATTCACACTCAGACAAAGTGATCTTCCACCACTTACATTTAAGCCAACTTACTAGAGACATTTGGATTTTTCTTGAGTGTAATGTCTTGTAAATAACTGAACAATGCTTCAGATAAGAAAATGTTCTGAAAAAACTTTTGATACAAACTGGATCCTTCTTTGCAGGTGCTGGTTCCTCCGGTGGAGCTAATGCCGCAGTGCAGAACCCCACTCTGGCAGCTGCTGTGGGTCAGGGTAACTACCCCATGCATGGGTCACCTATGCCTCCCCAGGGCCCACAGGTACAACAGGCTCATCAGGTGTCCTCGGGCTCGCCTGCTCCTCCCCAGTCCTCCTCCCAGCCTGCTACGCCTCAACAGTTAACCCCGACACCCCCACAGACTCAATCACCCCACCCCCAGGGACCTCAAGCTTCGGCAGCAGCCAGTGCATCAACCCCCGAGTCAGCCCCCCGGACAGTCCCCCTACCAGCAGATGACGGGGCCAGCTCAGCAGCAACCCTACTCCACCCCTTCTCCCGCTCCACAGCAGTTCTCCACTCAGTCACCAGGACCCCAGGGACAGCCCCAGCAGAGCTACCCCCAGCCCGGCCCCCAGGGCCCACCACCTCAACCCTACCAGCAGCCCAACCCCGGTCAGATGGCGCCTTACCACCAAGGACAGCAACAGCCTCCGCCACAACAACAGCAACAACAACCAGGGTCCTTCCAGCCACACTTGCAAGGTCAGCCATCATATCCGCCTCCTCACTCACAAAACCAAGCACCTTACCCTCAGCAGCCACAGCAGTCGCAACAGTATCCACCCCACCCCCAGGGACCCTACCCGAACTTCAACCAAGCTGGGCCTTACCCCCCTCAGGCCGGCCAGCCTTACCCTCCACCTCAAGCTAGTCAGTACCCTACCCCGGGTCATGGCATGCCACCCCAGAGCACTCCGCTTCCCGCTTCCGGCCGAGCTATGAATCAGCCAGGTAGCGCACCTGGTAAGTAGGAAGCTTCTCAATCTTCCGTTGTCTTGTTTCAAAATACATCTGGATTAGCTAATCAGACATTTTCGTGATTTCTTCCTTATACAGATCAAAGACATCCTTTTCATCACTGTAAACCTAGCTTCTTTGAAAGGTATTTACAAGTTGGAATACTTATTCAAAAAGATCATCTAAAGCACCTTTTGATCCTTTCAAGTCTTTCTTCAGGAATATAGTCAAAATTTTCTCCAAAGGAATATTTGTCATCCAAAGCATTGCCTAAAATCCAGATGAATTCATTTTGCTTCTTTGCTTTGCCTTTTTCAAGTTGTTTTAAGAATCTTGATTTCTTCTTCATTGACTTTAGTAATGAATTATTCTTGCTCTGCATGGTATGCCTTTCATACACCTGTGAAGTCATTATTTCACCTGTGCCATATGAAGATTAGAATGCTAAATTAAAACTTCTTGCAATTAATGTCAGTGTTGAATTGAACTGAAAGTAGAATCATCCCACCCAAATTCTCCTCATTGACTGGCTGAAGCCTCTTTGGCTTTGTCCATGCTTATCTGTTTAGAAGTTCGGTGGATTGATTCTGCTCTACAAGCAACGAAACACTTCCTCACCTATTGCCTGTCACCTTCACCCCTTGTCCTCCCCATCCCGTCCAATGACGAAGTGTTTTACACTGCACTTCCATAGCCAGTATATTGTCCAGAGAACACTGGGTCTTTGCTTGTGGAGAATATTAATGCATTATTTAATCATATTTATCTCTATTTATCATTCTAATCTTTGTGGTAATGTAATGATGGAAAGGGGCGGTGGGGTAGCCTAAAGCGTTGGCTTCGTCACGCCGAAGACCCGGGTTCGAATCCCCACATGGGCACAATGTGTGAAGCCCATTTCTGGTGTCCCCGCTGTGATGTTGCTGGAATATTGCTAAAAGCGGGCGTAAAACCAAACTCAGTCAGTCAGTCAGTCAGTCAGTAATGATGGATATGAATGAATATCATCCTGAGTTAGTGTTTCAAGACAAATTATTTATACTGTTAGATGCTATGCGGGGTTGAATTCATCCTTAGAAATTAGTTTCTGATACTAGTCCAACGGATTAGTGGAATCAAATATAACTAGTCCTCAGAGTATTCAGCTAGTCCTGCTCAAATGAAACGTGTGCGATGTTTATATTTTCTGTCGGTTGTATTCTGTTCCAGTTTGTAGAAAAATTGAAGCACTCGTTCAGAATTAGAGCCATCATGTACTACTATTCGATGACTAGCGTCATTTTATTTTTTACTTGTCGGTACACTTTATAGTAGTCTTAGGCATGCACACATACATTATAAAGCTGGCTGGCATACATTATAAAGGCTGTGCATTTGCTTAGACGTCATGAGCGTTCCCAGCTTCAGGATGGTCATGAAACTGGAAGCAATGCATTACTTTTTACTGTTTTTTATTCCCATTTGTTACATAGTTTACCAGGAAACAGTACGATGCAGCTTTCACATCTGTGATACTCATGTAGGGGTTAAAATTATTTTACCCTGGTGGGGATTCTGAGTTAAGTCTGGTGCCTAGCAGCTTTTGGACGAGCTAAGGGTGACTTAATGAGTCAGGTTCTGTGGCTTGTTTGATGCATGTCATCAAACCAAGATGACACTGACCGTTGGTCATACTATCAATCACTGGATTATCTGGTCCAGACAGGTGGCATTCAACAACACACATACAAACACCTTGCCACTCAAAGTTAAGGACTGACATAACAGATTAATATGTTAATATGACTTCTTTGAGAACTATACATACAAATCTCTAAAACTGAACACACCTGCATAGTGGTTCATGTAAGATGAACTTTCTGTCAGCATTTTATCATGGATTCATCTAGATTCCTGGTGTGAATGAGCAAAGCCACCATATCTGGTTTCTATATCTCAAAAATGAACTAAACAACAAGTTCCCAAAGTAGAAAGTGTAATAGTGTTGTGGAAATTTTATTCACACTGTCATTTCTGAGCACTGTACTATCTACATCCTGAAAGGATGGTCTGTGTGGGTTTTTATTTGTACAAATCAAATTTCCAAATTGAGGTGGTATATAAATTTTATTTGAATAAATAAATATGTTTTAGAAAGCTCACAGCTGATTTTCTTATCCTCAAGAACCCACACTGGCTTTTAGTTTTAGTAAGTGGCAAATGTAGAATTTTGACCTGTGGACAAGTGGAAACCTTATTTTTACCAGCCCTCTTAGTTGGCAATTAGCCCTGCTTGAACAAGAAAAAATGTTTACAGTCTAAATTTTCTGTCAGTGTTATTTGCTCCAACCCCAAATAAGCCCCCTGAAGCATGAGTGAGTGAGTGAGTTTAGTTTTACGCCACACTCAGCAATATTCCAGCTATATGGCGGCGGTCTGTAAATAATCGAGTCTGGACCAGACAATCCAGTGATCAACATCATGAACATCGATCTGCGCAATTGGGAACCGATGACATGTGTCAACCAAGTCAGCCAGCCTGACCACCCGATCCTGTTAGTCACCTCTTACGACAAGCATAGTCGCCTTCTGTGACAAGCATGGGTTGCTGAAGACCTATTCTACCCCGGATCTTCACGGCCCCCTGAAGCATGAAGAGCTGATTAAGAATTATAGGTATATCAGTGAATGCTGGATTTGGAGTTTTACATGTCCTCAACACAGTTTAGTTGTCTTAGCCTAGCGAGCAAGTGGCATTTCAAAGTGTGACCTGATTTTGTGTGAGCATACCCTAAGGGACAACTATTTTGTCTGAACCAAACTCCGATACTTGCCGTCTGCCACAACCAAAGTGTGACTGACTGAAGCTTGAAACAGGGTCAACCACTTCATCTGGTATTACAATAGATACATCACAGTATCATGATATTTGTCAGCCAACAATAAAGCTCAGTAACTGTATTAATGAAAATTCTTACAGTGTTGCTGACAAGTGAAGGTACCCATTTACCTCCCTTTGAAAACTCAAACCAAGGGAAGTAACTCTTAAGCTGATGTTAATTTTCTGACTTGAACTTGTTCTTTTCAAAATGATTCTGTGAACACTAGAACTGTTCTGTCAAAGTTGAATACATGATCTATTATACATTTTTTAGGTGAACTAACATCGTTCAAACTCAATTGAGACAATTGTCTCTAAATGGCGGTGAGTTGTTAACCTTCCACTTCTCCATGTTGTCCATCATTCAAGTCCTGGCTACGTTTTTTGTTGATGGTGATGGATGCTGTTGGAAAAGTTTGACCATAATTATTTCAAGAATCATTCTATTTGTTTTTGTCCTGTTTGCATGTATACAGGGATTTATCTGGACCTGTTCAGAGGCCTATTTTCAGACATATATCTCCAGGAAATGTCAGGAAAGATTCCAGTATCAGGATTGAACATTTCCCACTTCATGCTGTTACAGTCATAGCTAATATTTTGGCTTTGTAAGGCAACATGCATTTCACTGGAAGTAGGATCAATTTGAGGAAGAGACTCTAATGATTAGTTTTACATTTCCAATTTAAAGGTTTAATTTTCATATGCATCTGAATTAAGAAATTTTGAAAATCCAAATTTTGAACAAAATAACATTTTTTCCCAAGTTGAGCTTCTGGGATGTATCTTGGCAACTCATGACGATCAGCTGTTCAAGACGAAAAGATGTTCAGAAGAGATAATTGTTCTTGTTTGTTTGTTTGTTTACTAAAAGTGTCTTAATACTGAAATTAGCTTATGGATAACAAAGTTTTTGTAATTATCAGGCTTTAGTATATTTTAATGAAAAATTTACTAAATGGCTAAATCTAGAATAGCCAATGTTACAATATAATTCAATTCTCCACTGAGTGTATTTTGGTAAAATTAAGTTTTTCAAGAATTAAGAGAATAGGCCTTAATTTGCATGAATTGTTGAGATAGCATATGGCTGAATTCTACATCTGTGATTGGACAAACACAATACTGATTGAGAGCACTGTACAAGAGCAGCAAGATGGGTGTGAGTTGGGTCAAACATTTCCTTCAGCACTGTTGGACTGCACGCTACACACAGTGGTATTTGTTACTTCACATTGTTTTATATGCATTGTATTTACCGTTCATTGTGTTTACCGTTCGTATCATTGTATTTACCATTCATATCATTGTCTGAAGATTGTTGACCAGTGTTTGTTGACGGCAGTGTTGTTGCTGCAGTTTAGTTCATCTAATTGCTTTTTTATGTTGAATTTGGTGTAATTTTGTTCTTTGCAAATTGGCAGATTTGGCTGATATTTCTTCATACTGATCTTGGGAAGGGTGGTTGGGGGGCTATGTGGTTAAGGTGTTTGATCATCACATTGGATAGGTTTGATCATCACATTTGGTTCTGTGAAGTCCTTTTGCTTCATGTCACCCACAGTGATAAGGCTGACATAATGCCAACAGCAGTGTAATTCACTCTCTTAAGAGAAATCTGGAACTACGCTGGACACCAGGTGGTCGAAGAGTATTACTGCTAAGGCATTTGGACAGCTGAACATACAGGCAGACCAACTCTCGCCCTTAGTCTGGCTGTCATGGATGAGGTGAAATGTGGTCTAACATGGCATTAAGAGTATTCAGGGCTCGATTTAGTGCTTTGATACTTGCACTGGTGCAACCCAGTATTACAAAGTGCAACCTAGTTATTAGTCTGACTTGCACCAGGTGCAAGTCAAGTTTCGAGAATTATATCAACAATAAATCTAACATTATAAGCATAAATATGTCAGCTCATATTTCTTCTAAACTTTGAATAGCTATGGCATCAAAATATTGCCATTTATAGACACCTTGGCTATGACAGCTCGAGTAAACAGGAACCAGCTGTGTCTCTGTGTTGCTATGGTTTCATGGGTACAACATCACGGAAATATGTTTATGTGCACCGAAACCTCTGACGTTTTAGCACACTACGTTGCAACTGGAATTTGGCTGGTGCAACTAGGCTTTTATCTCAGGTTGCACCTGGTGCAAGTAGGTTAACATCTCTTAAATCGAGCCCTGGTATTTCACTTAAATACGTCATGCATGTGTTTCTGTGACTGACTGTACTAGTGGTATAGATCTATGGTGGTTTTATGGTTCCAGCTCACTGAGATACCATGCTACAGTTCAACATGGGTACAACAAATTAGCAATCATATGAATTAGAATATCTGCTCAGTGTAGTTTCAATGTTTGGTGATCGGTACCTAAGTTTGTCGGTGAACATAATGAAAAAGTGGTAAAATCAGTCCTTTCTGATTGTAAGAATATATCAATGTGAAATTGCCCCTAATTAGTTTCAGTAACATTTGGGGAACAAAGGTTCCTTTATATGATATATGTAGGATAGGTTGACACATGGCGCCGTTACATGGGAGTTAATATCTCTGCTTTGTCTGAAGGTCAGAGGAGATCCTCACATTGGTGGCAAGTCGTTTGGTGTGCATGATTTATTGCTTACAAAATATTTCTTCCAACTCTCAGATGTTTTACTGGTTTTGTTATTTCACATAATTGGGTATAATTTGAAAAAGAATTGCTAATCATTTACCCTGTTTTGTCCATGTCATATCCACATCTACACCATCACTGGTTTCAATGTATGCTTTTCTGGTGTCCCCCGCCGTGATGTTGCTGGAATATTGCTAAAAGCGGCGTAAAACCAAACTCAGTCAGTCAGTCAGTCAATGTACGCTTTGTTTTGCTGGTGTTTCTGCAGAACCTAAACCTTTGTGCAAGTTTCATCATGTCACCCCCTTTCTGGTGGTTATTGCATATTTTTTGCTGAAAAATATTGGATAAAATAACAAAACAGGTATTGCTCACATTTTCATGACTGCTGAAATGACACTGATGGCTGTCGGTGATGAATATGATTATGGTGGACTCATGCTTTGGCAACAAATCATTCATATTGAAAACATATACAGTCAAATCCCGATGAGTCGAATGCCGGTGTCTCGAATATTATGCATACCTCGAAGTACCTGTCATCATTTGAATACCGTTTACACGAATTCGTCTCATAAATACACACGATGACTCGAGAAGGAAATTTGGTCCCATGAGATTCAAACAACAGCAATCTTGTATACATAAGCCGAAGTCAGTCAATGAGAAGTTGATTGGTGTAGCAAACTGATCCAATTAACAAACCAGCTGGCTCACACCTTTCCGCATTTGACGGGTGAGTTCAAAAGGCAGATTAGTGATTTTACGGAAATCACTGTCTGTGCTAATCAGACTGGAACTGATAAGGTGCCCCTATTAGTGATAGGGAAATCATTAGATAAACAAATGCTTAGGCGGAGGAATTAGGACTGGATTGTCTTTTTTTTTCTACCCTCATAGACATACCTATGTCTCGAATACATCGATAAGTCGAATTTATTACTTGGTCCCCAGCGATTCGACTCATCAGGATTTGACTGTATTTGCATCACTACACCGAGCTGATCTGATGACGCTTATGTCAGAACTGTTTCATCAACGTTTCCTGGTTAGGCCTGGACAAATGGCATCATGTTTAAAGAATGTTGAAGTGACACAGAGCACTCATTCAGGGGTGGAAATAACTTTAAAATTGATAGTGTACTCCGGTACAGTGGCACATGTAATGTCACTTGCCCTGATAATTTGTCCACTATACCGACCGTTTTCCGGCTGATTTTTGAAATAAACAACATAATTAACATTGGAAAGTCAACTGGACACCGGTACAGTGTGATATACAAATTTGCTTGCCCGACAGAAAAAAACACTGGACCCGGACGTCGGGCAATGGGTTATTTCCACCCCTGTCATACATTTTTTAAGACCACCCTTGTGTTATTGTTGAACAGGGCCTGTTCCACAGAGCCATCGTAACTCTACGACTGTCGTAAGTCTTTGTTCAAATATGGGAGTTACGATCATCTTAGCACAATGATTGCTTTGTGAGCTGACGTTCTTTGTGAGCTGACGTTCTGTGTGAGAACTAAGGTGAAACAGAAACCCAGATTTTCATTTCCTGGTGAAGTTTGCATAGGTTAACAAGTTCTCGGTTAAAGCGTCATGGATATGTGGTAATGTCACTTGTATTTGTTTGTGTGTTTCATGTAATAACCACCAATGTCGGTCTTCGGGGTTAGCCATGTTTTACTGAACGTCTGTTTTGGATCAGGACGTACAAGATAATGTCCTCTAGCAAAGACAAATGATCACATATACAACATGTACGCAAGGATCAAAATATTGTAGCAGGTAGAGATGACGCTTAATTTACAACATACCTGAGCACATTTGCAGCTGCCTCTTGTGTCCTTTTATTGTGTTGGTGACCAACTAAATTGTCACCAAATCGTCGCTAAATCTGATCTGATTTCTGGAAGACATTACAGAGCGCATGTTTGCAACTGGCACTTATGTGATTTGTTGTTTCACATGTTTTACCTTACCATATTCACTACTTTTCCATTTTTGTTTTCCATTTGGGGATGTTTGTATTGTTGTCACAGTTGTCATGGTGATGGTATTTTGGTTTTCAGAAATTTTAAAAGTATACTTTGGTTGTAAATTTTGTTTTTCTTCCTTTTTTCAGAAAGCGGGTCGGAACAACAACCTCAGGTGCCACCACCCTCCAAATGATGAATCTCAGCATCCGTCAAATCTTTTCATCTGAATATGTACACTTCAGTGTTTCTGCATCAAACTTGATACATTTCCATGTCACTTCAGTAGACCACTACAAGTTGTTCTGTATTTTTCTCTGGTTGTATTCGCAAAAGTTAGAATACAGAGTATAATGTTTTAATTCTGGTACATGTCTATAAATTAAATCAAAAGGTATTTTTAAGCTTAGAAAGACAGTAACTATTTATCCATGATAAATATTTTGTCTTGTCATGCAATGAAATATTTGTGAACATGTGTGACTCGTCCTCTAGGTCAGTATGCCCAATGCAGTATTTACACACAAAAATTATGATATCTTAACAGGATTGACTTTGGTAATTTCTTAAATTTAATCAATATCACACATTAAATACATTTTGCTTTTAGGAAGGAAGAAATCAGCAATTCTGAGGAAAAAATACTCAGATGATTGTTGCTTTAATCATATTTAAACTAGTATGTAAAATTTGGGTGACACTTATGAAGGAAATGATGGTTCATTTTCATTTGTTTCATTGGAATATTTCATCAAACTGTTGGTATTAACTCACAGTTATTCAAGATAATCAAATGTTGTATACTATAACATTCTAGTAAATTGTTCACATAATCATTTGGCATTATTTCACCACTTTCATGCAGCATATCACTGGAATCCTCCTTTTTGAAGACTTTGCTGCTAATATTAGGAAAAAAGCATTTATGTTTGTCCTTGGAGCATTTTCAAAGATGTAGCTTAGGGAAAGAAAATAATTTCTTATGAATGAAAACTGTGGTCTCACATGTATATACTCTCTGTAACATTGTTATGTAAAATAGTCATTTTCCTATTTTCATATATCTGTGTTGTTGCTTATAGAAGGTGGAAACCATCGTGGTCTCTGGTCAACTTTCTTTGATGTGTATAGTGTAACTGTTATAGTTTTTTCCATCCCTGGCCATCAAGGGTGTTATGTTTCCATACTACGATAGACACCAAGGACAAGTTTGCCACCAAAGCAACATATCAAAAAGGACATCAACCACCACAGTATCACCAGTCCTGAACAAATTGTGTCTGGCTCATGAGCATGGATTGGATGGCTGTTTTGGTCGATGCTGGTTGAATCGGGATAAAACTGATGCTAAGGTAGCAACTGGGTCCATGGTACTTATTGAAACTGTATTGAGACACAATACATTAGATAACCAAGGATGGGTTATTGCCAATATCCACCTTCTCTGACTATTCACATCCTGGATACTGAGAATGTAGTTCATGTACAATGTTGTATGGTTTTAGATTGACAAGACTCACTTCAAGTCTAGGTCCGTCAATGTTGAATGTCATTGAATGGAAGCAGTATTAGTAAGACTTAACCTAATAATTTAATTTACCTGCAATAGGTTGAACTACAGGTTAACAAACTTGCAATTGATCCAATTCTTACTCGGGCCGGTGGGGTAGCATAGTGGTTAAAATGTTTGCTCGTCACGCCGAAGACCCGGGTTCGATTCCCCACATGGGTACAATGTGTGAAGCCCATTTCTGGTGTCCCCCGCTGTGATATTGCTGGAATATTGCTAAAAGCGGCGTAAAACCATACACACTCACTCACTCCAATTCTTACTCACTAGGGCTGCTACTTCAAACATTAGTGCTCCTTTAACACATTGTCTTAAGGGTGAGGATATTTCTTGAAAGTCCTTATAATAAATGTTTATGTGAGACACAAGACTTATGCCAAATTTATATGTTCATTTTCCGTTTTTAATCCTTCACACAGCGGAAGCTGTTGTCTTACTGTATTGTGGTTTGATATGGATGCACAATACACCTCTTGAAGTGCTTCATTACCGATGGTGCAGCCAAAATGTTACACAAGTTATTAAATCATTTGATGTATGTGATTATGGCAGTGAATGTTTTGACTAAGTGGGATTTAATGTCACATTCTTGCCCGTTAGAGTTGTTGAGATGTTAAATACTTGTAGTCTTATGATAGGAATCTTCAAAATGATGAGAGTATTTGTCTTATTTATGTATGAATCATCTTGAGTCTTTTTCAGCAGATTCAACATGTGTACCAGCATCAAATTCTTTTCAATTAGAAATCAAAACTTCATATTCATTTAAAAATTAACTTTTCATGGAATAGAATACGTTTAACCCTAGTTTACAAAGAAATACATTTCATAAATTTGTGATTGACATTTTACTCTAAGCATATTTTGACTGGGCCAACACTGTTTAGTGGACATCATTGTTGACATTTTCACTGGACATCGTCATTGTATGGTGGTCATTTCATTGTAAATATCATGTGACTTTCTCCATGTATTGTAGCTTGTATGGTGCTCAGTGCGGACATTTCTAATTCTGTCTTCTTATAAAAAAATAAAATACAATATTGATGAATTGTTTCTTGTGTTTTGTTTTGGGATTACTTGTACTCATTAGAAGGGTGAGTTGCATGTTATGTTGGAGAATGTTACATATAATAGTTAATTATTAACTGGACCCGTGAAGATCCGGGAGGATAGAATTGGTCTTCAGCAACCCATGCTAGTGGATGGGGTGGTTGGGGTGGTCAGGCTCGCTGTCACCGTATCCCAATTGTGTAGATCGATGCTCATGCTGTTGATCAGTGGATTGTCTGGTCCAGACTCAATAATTTACAGACTGCCGCTGGGGCGGTGGGGTAGTCGAGTGGTTAAAGCGTTGGCACGTCACGCCGAAGACCCGGGTCCGAATCCCCACATGGGTACAATGTGTGAAGCCCATTTCTGGTGTCCCCCGCTGTGATATTGCTGGAATATTGCTAAAAGCGGCGTAAAACCAAACTCACTCACTCACTCACTACAGACTGCCGCCATATAACTGGAATATTGCTGAGTGTGTGTTAATCCACAAACCAACCAATTATTGATGACAGTTGTCAAGGCAAGCACAAAGCCAGATGGATGCATAATGCCCTACCTCTTGTCTGTTTAATGCAGCGCTTGACAATATTCTGGCTATACCACACTGTCCTGTAAATAGGTTTGGACCAGACAATCCAATGTTTTGACAGTTTAAGCTAGATCCCATTCCATAAGGGTTGCTAATACATGGAGTGAATCTAATTTCTGAGTCTGGCTACATGATCCATTGTCGCCTGTTATGACGAGCATAGGTTGATGAGACCTTTCTGAGGTTGTACATCCTTGAGGCATATTGACATTCCATCTATTATAGGTTTGCCAAATTATTATCAGGCTAAGTTCTGGGTAAGAGTGTATTTCCAGAAACAAACACTGGCCAAGTGAGGTAACCAAATGGACCAGGTGGAGGAGCTAAGTGACTCAGTTGATGGTGTGTCATTGTACACCAACAGTAAATCACCCGTGAAGATCCCGGTTAGAATGTACCTTCAGTAACCCATGCTTGTCGTAAGAGGCGACTAACGGGATCGGGTGGTCAGGCTCGCAGACTTGGTTGACACGTGTCATCGTATCCCAATTGCGCAGATCGATGCTCATGCTGTTGATCACTGGATTGTCTGGTCCAGACTGGATTATTTACGGACCGCCGCCATATAGCTGGAATATTGCTGAGCGCGCGTAAAACTAAACTCAACAGTAAATTTTTCCAGGATGTACTCATAAACAATTACATAATTATGGAATAGGCATTTGGTAAGTTAATTCCTTGAACTGGATGATGCATGGTTGCTGTGTGTAGGAAGAGCTGCACCATAGTTGGTGTGAAGCAATATTGTCTGGCTAACTCTCGGGATTACAATGTGTGTAAATCATACTAAACTTGGGGATGAAGTTCTCGGTTGGAGTTGGTATTGGTATTAAGCAACCCATGCTTACTGGGGGTGACACAGTTCTTGGGTATGCTGTCTTGGTTGATACACCGCCTCCGTGGTGTAGTGGTTAGAGTGTCCGCCCGGAGAGTGGAAGGTCGCGGGTTCGATCCCCGACCGCGTCATACCAAACGACCTTAAAATGGGGTACTTGTTGGTCCCTGCCTGGCGCTCGGCATTTATGGGTACAACAAGGACTGGTCAGCTCGGAGTCAGTATACTGTGTCTGAGTGGGGTATTCATGCTTAACTGCGGCATGGTATCTCCGTGAACTAGCACTATAAAAACAGCTTAAGTCTGGGCTAGTACAAGCAGCCGCACATACACATACACACGCATGCACGTGGTCATATGAGCGAAATATTCTCAAGTACGACGTTAAACACCATTTCACCTCACCTCACTTGGTTGATACACTTGATTGTAGATGATGTAGTTGTTTGTTCATGATCTCAACCACCCGTTTGTCGGGTCCAGACTCAGCGATGTTATTAAGGAGTACGTTATGAGAGACTGACTGACTGACTGAGTTTGGTTTTACGCCGCTTTTAGCAATATTCCAGCAACATCGCGGCGGGGGACACCAGAAATGGGCTTCACACATTGTGCCCATGTGGGGATTCGAACCCGGGTCTTCGGCGTGACGAGCCAACGCTTTAACCATTAGGCTACCCCACCGCCCCCGTTATGAGAGAACAATCAAGCCGTAACCGAAATCATAAACAATGTACAGCTCTATTTCGTCGCACAAATTTGTTTGTAACCAAAACGAGAAAGATGGGGATCGTAAAATATGGGGGATGTATTTAAGAAATGTGCTACATCTTCATTACGGAAAGGGGCGGTGGGGTAGCCTTGTGGTTAAAGCGTTCGCTCGTCACGCTGAAGACCAGGGCCCCGTTTCACAAAGCTCTCGTAAGCCTAAGATCTCGTAACTATTCTCGTAGTAATCGTACCTCCTATACTATAACATTGGCTTACGATAGTCGTAGCGCTAAGAGAGCTTTGTGAAACGGGGCCCAGGTTCGATTCCCCACATGGGTACAGTGTGTGAAGCCCATTTCTGGTGCCCGCCGCCGCCGTGATGCTGCTGGAACATTGCTAAAAGCAGCGTAAAACCCAACTCACTCACTCACTCATTACGGAAATATCCCCAAAGATATTTTCATGGTCCGTAACGGTTCTGTTCAGTGTAAGTGAACACTTCTTGGCAGGGAAGCGATGGTCCATGTGAAAAAAGGTTAAATGAGGGAAAAATACGTTTTCCACAATAAGTCCACAAAGCCTATGAAGGGAAGAACTTTTCTGGCATCAGTTTTATATGCAATTTCAGCTGATTATTTCACTGAAACGGTTGTATAACAAACCACAGGGAATGGAAAAGTTCAGCAGGTCCCAATGCTGTTTCAGATATGTTTTCTCACGTCTTAAAATTGCCATTATGGAGATCAAAGCCTGGTCAATATTGAACTTGATTCCTGATAGATTTGTCTCAATCAGAGGTGTGGATTTCAATCAGTTGGATTGCAAATATATTTTACAATTAGCGTAGCTAACTGAGATGCGATACAGTGGCCCTCACTCGCTCATTGTGTACACCATTTAGTAATGGCCATAGTTCATGACCGTGCAATCGGCCTTGTAACATCCATGCTAATCTCTTAACAAGTGAGTATGCTCTGAGGTCAACGTTCAAGACCATTAACTGGCTATTTATGTGTTGTCACAACGTTGCTTGGTGGACTTATTCAGGGCGATAGCTATCCCTGCCTGCCTCATTCCTCGAATACCGCGAGTCTGTCTACAGAAATATGTCAACCCGAACGTGGAGAAGAAAAATGGTGGGCATTTGACTTATCTTGCCAAATGACATTTCATCCAAAGTTCGCTGACTAAGGAGGTATTTTTACATGATGTGGGCATTTAGGGAAAATATGTGAGTGAGTTTGGTTTTACGCCGCTTTTAGCATTATTCCAACAATATCACGACAGGGACAACCGAAATGGGCTTTACACATCGTACCCATGTTGGAAATCGTACTGGGGTTTCGGCGTGATAAGCGAGCGCTATATCCATAAGGCTACCCCGCCGCCCCATGGGAAAATATGAACCTTGTTTGAATGAGAGGTTGTAGATGTATCACATGTTATATTTAGGATTATTATAGGATATTTATATAGCGCACATATCCAAGCAACTAGTGCTTGCTCAAGGCGCTGGTATTTTTTCCCTCGATCACTGGATCTCAATCTCAACGGCACATCATATTATCAATCTCAACTCCCTGGGGAGTATACAACTCTTGCAGCCACTAGGCGCACCGAGTTCTTGTGGATTACACTTTCTCAGTAAAGTACAGAGTCTAGTACTTTTGTAAGGTGGAGTTCCATCAGGGATTCGAACCCTCACTCCAAAAATCTGTCTCCTTATCACCAGTACATAAAGCCAGCGATCTAACCCACTCAGCCAACGCAGTTTTCTGAAAAAATGGACGTCGGCCAACTAGTAGTCTATATCATGTACTTTGTGTACCCCTTGACAAATGTAAATTGGCACAGTACCTATGGACAAAGCCATTTACTTTGAGAAAGTGTAACCCCAAATATAACACATGATACGTTTGACCACTTTCTAAACGGCACTGTGTATTCATAGTACGTTTGTCACATGAAGAAATTGAGCGAATTCAATCTGACGTCGTTTCCGTGGTCTCGTCGAATGAGGATGTTTAGTCCCCGGTAGCGTCATGCCATGACGTCACAAGATGGTGTTTCTTGTTACCCTGGCGCTGGGCATTACCTGGATAAAACTATGTGTCTGAGTGGGTATTTGAGTTTAAACTGCGACATGGTACCGCAATGCACCTTGCATACCCGTGAAGATCCGGGTTAGAATTGGTCTTCAGTTACCAATGCTTGTCGTAAGATGCAACTAACAGGATCGGGTGGTCAGGCTCGCTGACTTGGTTGATACATGTCATCGTATCCCAATTGCGTAGATTGATGCTCAAGCTGTCGATCACTGAATTGCCCTCGATTATTTACAGACCTTCGCCATATGGCTGGAATATTGCTGAGTGCGGCGTAAAACAACAAACCAAACCAATGCGCTGGCACTATAAAACCAGCATCCGTCCAGGCAGGTTCAAGCTCACACACGTCACAATACATGAGCAATACACTTAAACAGGTTGCACCCCATTTCGACTAACGCTTCACCAGACAATAAAAAACTCCTTGACACCTAAACAGATGAACAATCAAACCAAAGACATTGCATTTATTAATCATAATTCAATAATAATGTAAAATCAATATAAAGTTCCTTAAACATATAAAAAAATGGAAAGCCACTCCACGGAAGTATATAGTAATATGAAAGAATCGGTGCGTTCTTCAACTTCTATAGTTTGTGTAATTTGAAGAGACGGAACTTCAGGCAGAAGGGGAAAGAAGATTTGAATTGTTCCAAACAAAAAAGTTGATTTGGATAAAAATCTGTCTTCATATTTTCTTCCTACCCGTGAAGATAGGCATGTTTGTCATCGTAATCCAGTTGTGTAGA